AACAATAAAAGGGAACAGAATCAAATTTTAAACTTATCTCACAAGACGAATTCAAAGAATACTGAAAATGAGGAGTTTATGAAGTTCAATGGTGGTTTAAGAGATATGTTGAAATGTTCTCTTGAGGTATATATATCAAATGGGTTATATTGATTTCTGAAAATAAGATCATCAAATTTGAGAATATTGGTTTTGGTTCAGGGAGCTGGTGGACCGGAGGAGGAAGATAACCGGTGGCCACCATGGCTGAAACCTCTGCTTAAAGAACAATTCTTTGTTCACTGCAAGTTTCATGGAGACTCTCATAAGAGTGAATGCAACATGTATTGCTTAGACTGCACAAACGGCCCGCTTTGCTCTCTTTGTCTTGCTCATCACAAGGATCATCGAACCATTCAGGTGCGTTCTTGCGATGATCCTAACTAGAGATTCATCATATGTTTTGGTTTTTGAATCTGTCTTGATTGGTTTCTCTTTTTTTTTGACAGATAAGGAGATCTTCTTATCATGATGTTATAAGGGTGAATGAGATACAGAAGCATCTTGATATATCAGGGATCCAAACATATGTGATCAATAGTGCTAAAGTCGTCTTCTTGAACGAGCGGCCTCAGCCTAGGCCAGGCAAAGGCGTAACCAATACCTGCAAGGTTTGCTATCGCAGCCTCGTTGATGATAGCTTCCGCTTCTGCTCTCTTGGCTGCAAGGTACATTTTTCAACATTTCACCAACTTCTTTTCTCATTTGTGTTTTGAGTCAAAAGGAAGAAACTTTGGTGTTGGGTGTACACTTGTTTTCCCTCTTTACACGTTCAAAACAACATCTCTTGTGAGGAAAATCCTCACATTTTTAAGGGGGCCTCTTACAGTTTCACCCAACAGGGTAAATTCAATTACTTTTTAACCGCTCAAGAAAAAGATGAAGACTTTTTGAAATGGGTCACCTTATCATATTTACAGTTTCACCTAACTTTTCCAAGCATTTTGGTTAATCATGTCGAGTAAAAAAATCAAAACTTTTGATAATGGGTCATCCTTTTCTTGCGCATTCTTGTAACAGCTCTTTACTCTTTACTCAAATCTGATAAACTTTACTTTTTTTCTATGTTTTTGGGAAATGAAATCAAGATTGCTGGATCATCTAGAGGCTTTGAAAGGGGAAGGAAGAACCTTGTGACGGAATCAGAGGATTCAACTAGCAGCATTGGGATTGGGAAGAACATTTCAAATCTCCAGAGTTTCAGCCCATCAACACCTCCTCTCACTACATCCGGTAATTGCAGAATCGCCAAGCGAAGAAAGGGAATCCCTCACCGATCTCCGATGGGATAAAAGCCGATAAAAGAGGAAGAAGCAAAAGTGTTAAAAGCTAATACAGAAGCTTTCGCCACTTTCTTGATTACACACAAAGGGTTTAGCTAATATACAGAAGCTTTTGTCTCTTAATCTGTTTTTCATATACCGAAGTAAGGGTCTCTTTTGCTTGTGTTAGCAAAAAAACAAAGGCCTTAAGTTAGGTTTTGTCCTACTAATGGTAAGTCTGTGAATATGTAATGTGTGCTTGTATATTTTATGTGATGCAAAAAGGGTAGAAAGGGAAATATAGGGGTTTTAAGGGGTAAAAGTGGGAATTAAACAAAATTAGTTTTTGTTTTACATTTATGTACGCATGATGTAAATTTGGTTTGGTTAGGTGCATACATGGATCTGGAATAACAAATAAATAATGAGATTTTCTACCTTGTATATATTCACACGTTCATTATTAGCTATTATTGATGATATATTCATCTGTTTCCAAATAAATGCTGTTTTAAAAGTACTAAAAGAACTAAAAGTACAAGAATCATTTGATTTTTAAATGCATAATAGTGTAAAATACGATATTACAGTTAGAATAAAGATTTTCGGCTCAAACATATAATACCATATGGTCCTAATTTAAATAAATGGAATGACTTTTTGTTTTTGTTTTTTTCGCGACTTTAAATATAATTGGTTTTTTATAGTTAAAGTCTATTTGTTATATATGGTATATTAATTCTCATGGGGCATTGTGTTGGAAAGCAATTGGTGGGGAAGGTTGCTTTCTCTTTTAACTTTCTTGAGAAGAGAACCATTTGGAAATTGGAATAATCAAAAGAGAGAGATGACAAGAATATGTCTCTTTTCTCTCAAATAGTACACATTTTCTTAACTAATCAATACAATAATAATTCATAAGTCTTTCAATGTGTTTTGACAATTCAGTTTTTTTGTGTTATTAAAAGCTGACACATCAGCAAAATATTGAACCAATTAAAATATTTCATTAATACACTTAATCTCAATATTTTAACACATAGGCAAATTTTTTTCTTTTTATCATCAAAATTTTTCTTTAATAAAACCCAATATGGAAATTACATAGAAATTAAAGTCCAATATTATTATTTTGGAATAACTGTAAAATTAATCCTGATTATATCAATGACAAAAATCAAAACACACCGTTTTTATTAATGTACTACGTGTTGTTTTATAATTTTTTAAAATTTTTTAAAAATAACAAACTGAAGCTCATTGTATATTATCGACATCTTCTTTCTCCTTTTCCTTATCATCATTTTAATTTTTTAAAAAAGAACAAACTGAAGCTCATTGTATATTATCGACATCTTCTTTCTCATTTTTCCTGTCATCATCTTCTTTGTCCATCTTCTTCAATTATTCTAGAAATTATTTAATTAACCTAACTAATTGATAACATTTATTGGCAAACAAACCTAAATTTCTAATGAATCAATTAATATTGTTATCTCATCAAACTCACGATTTCACTTCTAAGATTTTAACTTTGTGGCAACTTTGTGGGAAAGAAAGATTTTTTAACCATGGATCTATTAAGAAAATATGGTGGTTCTCGAAAGAGTTTGAAAAAGAGCTACAATCGCATTGTGATGATGAATTTTCTGAAAGTTGAAGCTTTAAAGTGGTAAAGCTTTGTCCTTGATGCTAAAGACGGATGAGATATCCAATTACAGTAACACCAAATGTAGTTTAAGTTGTATTTAGGCTTGCGTTTAATACTTTAATATTTTGGGCCTTTGTATTTGGGTGTTACTCCTATATCATATATGTCTTATGGCTTATTAATAAAACTATATCTAAATATAGTGTGAAGTTTGAAGGTTTGAGATATACATATAAGTATGACTAATGTTTATGTATGATAATGTTAATGTTTACATGTTTAAAGCAAAGATATGAGAAAATTCAGAAAAATTTTCTATATATTGAAATTAAATAATTTTTTTATACTTTGATAAAGAGAAAGTGCACCAAATTTTAATTAATTATCAAAAAAATGAGTATTTTTTTAATCAAGTTATTGTATACTTATGAATGAATATTTGAAAGTATATTAAGTTTTTGAAAGCAAATATATTATGTTTAAAGGTATCAAAGATCTGATCGAAAAAATTGTCAACCACCTAAATCTCAACCATTGACTATGATTCAATAGATGAAAGAAACACTGATATGATTTGGAGAATGGGAGGAATGACGACATTGTGAAGCCATTTTCGTAGTTGCTAGACTTGTTTCTAGCATATGTGAGAGAAAATAAACTGAAGAAAAATAAAGTTATAAGATCTGAGGTCAATTAAATACGAGCTTCAAACATTTGACATAGTTATTTGGTTTCTTTCGATATATTTTGTAGCTTTTTTAATTTCTAGAGCTCAAGGCAGCGATATGGTCAATATATAAACTTAAACTATAGTAAATATGTAAGCTAATATGAATTGTTGTTTCATTTGTGGTTTTTTACAAAATATTTTTAATGCTAAAGAAATATTAATGTTAAATAATTATTTTAGTTAGTGTAAGAAAAACATACATTAAAAGTTTCATAATTAAAAATATGAATATAACCTGCGAGTAGAGAAATTTATGATCATAAGTAAACTTATAATAGTAAAACGTGTTTTTTTAGTTTTGGTTGAAAAATGCGATTTCTCGATTTTACCAGAAAATATGATTTTACCAGTTTAAAAAAAAAAATACAATTTTTCAGGCTTCGTTAGAAAAGCATAATTTGTGGTATTTTCGAAAAAATGATTTTAAGTTTTTTTATTATTTTCAAATTTAAGAGTATTTTAATCATTTGTTATTTTAAACTGAAACATCTCCATCAAGATGGTCCAATTTGGTTCATTCAAATAATTCTCATAAATTTATCTAAATCTTGAAAAATCATCTAGATAATTTATCTAAATATTTTTGATTTTGTTACAAAACAAACAAAATTCTCATTTTTATTCAAATGAACTATATAGATGGAGAAGTAAATAGGGTCTAAATCTAAAACTTATGCTAAATAAAAAATAAATATAATATTTATTTATACTGTAAAAATTTTTTATTTTTATTTTAAAAATATATAAAATTTAGAATAACATCCCGCAGCATAGCGCGGATAAATACCTAGTAAAATTATAAAGAAATAACCTAAAATTGGAGATAGAAAAAAAAGAGACAAAAAAGTAGAAAAAGAAGGAGATAACCTATTTAAATACCTGAGTTTAAAATGGATAAATTAACCAATTTAACGTTTAATGGGGTAGACAAGCCCAATTAAAATAGAGAGAAAATAATACATATTAATATTAAATGTTATAACTAGCACAAGGAAAAGCCAATCATCAAATATCATAACTTTTAATAATTAGAATAAAAAGAAACTTATTTATGTAATTGTGATAAAATAAATCTAATTGTATGTGATGATATTATTTTCAGAATTTTTTTCTAAAATCAAATAAATATACGAATAACATATATAAACACTGAAAATTCAAATCTCTGAGGCTTAGACCTTGGAAAAAGAAGAAGAAGAAATGAATTATGATGATTGCATCCATTTTATATGTATGTGTAAAAATTTCTCAAAGAGTAAATACAAAAAAAAAAGATATTGTAAAGGGAACTAATTAATTTAGTGTCAAGGAACTAGGTTTAGGATCTATTAGTCCTTCCTTGAGTCCCAAGAACCAATCCACCACTTGAGAATGATCTTTTCAAGTTTTCAAGCTTCAGTCGGTTTCCACTTTCAAGATCATAACTTTCCTCTTCCTCTTCTCCGTCTCTGCTCGTCGGGAGAACAATATCTGCGGCCGAGAATCGTCGTGGATGATGAGAACTGATAGGAACAATAACCTCATCACGGTGATCAAGAACAATTATATTTCCTTCTGCTGGTCCAACATTGCTAGTAAACCGATCAAGATTCATCACCACAGAGAGATGATCGGGTTCTTGAGTGGTAGGGACGATGATCTTAGACCGACAAAGCGGACAATTTGAGTGGGATTTGAGCCAACGATCAATACAAACGACGTGGAAAATATGATTGCATTTAGGCAATAACCTTAAGCTCTCGTCTTCGTTAAACTCTCCAAGACATATGGAACAATCCATACCGTTGATTTTGAGCCCCTTTTGATGCTTCTTCAACCTGAAAGATCCAATCTTTTTTATGAGGGCGTCGTCTAAACCGGCGTTTGAAGACGCATGAGCGAAAGGGTCATCTTGGTGTTGACTTTCCGGCGAGTTAACATCGAGAATTAAATCAGATCTTCCCGTTTCCGAGGTAGCTTCATCGTTTGTGTTGGTGGCGCAATACTTTGAGACAAGAGTGTAGTAAGTTGCCAAGAGAAAGGCACTTCCAAGGATTCCAATAATTGCGATGGCAAGAGGGGAGACATTAGGGTTTGATGAAACTCCGTCGTTTAGGAGTTGTTCATAGGAAATTGGTGGTGGAGAGAAGTTAATGTAACTACACCATTGAGGACAAAATGTGGAACAAAAGCCTTGAGTACAATCTCTTGGGTTTATATATTGATTCAAAGAATTAGGATTTGGATCGGACTCCATGAAAGAGGAAAAAGAAAAGAAGATTAGATCATTGAGGGATTATCTTTCAATGATAGTGTTATATTGGTAAGTGTTATCTTTCATATACGATAATCAAAGACATTATCTGAAAGGTGTAAGAAATTGTAAATGGGTATCTGTTTGATGAATATGTTTTTTTTTTTTTGGAGGGGCAAAGTGTGATGAATGTCGTTTATAATATATGTGGAATGTACGAAATTTAATATCTTATAATACACAAAAGTGATTCCGGTTCGTATATAAGAAGCTTGCTTTGTTTAAGTTTCCTTTTTTTTTTTCCCCATGCTTTTTTGTTCTTTTAATATGGCTTTAACTTTGTTCTTTAGTTCTTTTTTCCTTTCTTTTGATGACATAATAATTGGCTTGTTGACTAAGATATCGAATGTGGTACGTAAATAAGGTAAGCTCTGGTTATCCTCACATTTGTACATCTTGGCATTTGCATATCTAAAGTTTCATGGTAATGTTACGCTCTGAAAAATTGAAATATATGTTAATTTCGATACAAAAATGGGAAAATGCTTATTAGTCTTATTACATGCACACCCACCATAAATAGCTTTCACAAAAGTTGACTTTCCGTGTGCAAGCGTAGTTATTAACTTATTACATTTAGCTTTCTTTGACTTTGACATTCAACAGAGCAGCAGACATATGTTACATATATATGTTAATTGACGCCTCGCGAGATATGACCTGAGGAGACCGGAGGATGTGTAGCACCGTTACATTCTCAGTTTACTTAGAACGTAACCTTAGTTCCACGACATTAGAGAAGACAAAAGCTGAAAAGATTGGAGAAGAAGGATTGAGTAAAAGACTAAAGAGTAAAGAGACAAGGGTTGCGTAGAATACTAGGTTTATTTCTTCTATTGTGGGATCCGGGTTTTGTTTTTGTTCTTTAAAGAGAAATTTAATACATTTTTTTGGTTCTATTAGTTAATTTAAATATGAGTTTACGATAAAACAAGTTTTACTTATGTAGAAAAGTCCCAAAAAGTTATTGGCTCATTTCTCAAAGTCTATTACTCACGTCAAGATTAGTGTTTTATATAAGAAAATTGGGTCCCCTTGTTGTCATTAATTTGTGTTCTTTTACACAATTTTTAATTAGTAAATTGCACTTTCACTACAAAACTTCACTTTCATTTTGGCTTTAGCCATCCTCGCTTCATCATAACACCTCGACAATGACATAACAAAACTGTTTCCGAGTTTCACTAAGAACACACTGGCTTACTTGAGCTTTCCCAGAGCTTGATTTCTTCATTCTTGGCACTGTCCATTCCGAAATCTGCAAAGTCTCTTCTGCAACTTCATTAGCAAGAATCTGCCTATAGAAATCAGTTTCTTTTCTTTATTTAAAAATTCTCTTTTGCTGTCCTTAGAGCTCCCATCTCAAAACACATAAATGGAGCTAATTACTCAGCTCAGCCGATCAGCCACTTGCTTTTACCCGAGTTTTATCCACACTGCAAGCGTACTTTAGTATTTCCTTCTAAAGACTCCTACACTTGTCCTCTGTTACTCTCCCTTAGCAAGTACCAATGTATCTTTCCCTTACACAACTATACACACCTCTCTACATGGACTTAATGTCTCTCAGACTTAGTTCCACACTTGAGTTAGTAACTGTCATCACTGTCTCCTTGATCATTACCTTGGCTTTCTTGTAACAAAATCCTTGCAAAAAGACTTTCTTCCTGTAGCATACAACCTTGCTTCCAAGTCCAACAGCCACACATTGCAGACCCTCATTTCACATAAACAGCCAAGATTTCACTTTTTCAATGCTAAGAATCAGGCTTTTATTTCATTTCACTCATTGATACACCATAAGTACATTACAGTTTTTCACTTCAAAACTTTGTGTCATCATGTGTAAACAGATCGTCAGGAATTCCCAACCTGAGTCAGTTTCATCTTGGCTTTCGCCATCCTCGCTTCACCGTAACACCCCGACATCCGTAAACCGGACAAAACCGCTCGTCTCGCCGATGACGGAACCTTAATCCCTTTACTGTAACACGACAGGAGCAGCTTCGAAGCACAGACAAACCTCGTTTCTTTACAGAGATTATGCACAACAGAAGTATAAGTATACTCATCTTTCACTTCCATCGACTCAAACAACCTCATCGCACGGTCCACATGACCCGCTTTACACAAACCATCCACTAAACAGTTACACGTCACAAGACTCAATCCAATCCCCATCTCTCCCATACTTACAAAGGCTCTCTTCGTCTGTCCCGTCCTCAACAAACCGTTGACAATGATCGTGTGCGTATACTCATCAGCTTTCATCCCTTTCCTCTCAATCTCCCCCAACAAATCATCCACAGCATCTAAATTCCCGTCTCTAAAATACAGATTCAACAACGTGTTGTACGAAACAATGTCATGCCTCCTACCTTTCCTAACAAGCTCTTGCATATACTCGTACGCCTCTCTCGTCCTTCCCGTCTTAATCAACGCGCTTACCACCGCGAAATAAGCGTACCCGTCGTAAGTATAGCCTTCTCTTTGCATCTCAAGAAACAGCTGAAGCCCTCTTCGAATCCTCCCGGTCTTGAAATACAGCTTCAGTATCGTTGTGTATGTAACTGCGTTCGGAGTGTAACCCGATTTCTTGAGCTCTGTTAGCATCCATATCGCTGTACCGACCTTTCTTGATTTACAGAGCCCGTTGATTAAAATGTTATAAGTCATGAGCTCGGGTTTAAACCTAGTCTTCATCTCCTTGAAAAGCTCGAGAGCATCGTCTATGTAACCGCATTTGCAAAGAGCATCGAGGAGAACGTTGTATGTATCGGGACCGGGACTTAGCCCAGCGAGCTGAAGATCCTTGTGAAGAACACGAAAGGCTTCTTCTTGTTTCCCTAGCTTGAAGTAACAGCACATCAAAGTGTTGTAGCTCCACAAATCAGGATATATTCCCCACTCAAGCATTTCGTCGAACAGGTAGAGGACACGATCCAGCATCAGCCGTCTCGCTGCTCCGGCGATAAGAGAGTTGTACGTGGCGACGTCTGGTCTAATTCCGGCGTCTCTCATCCTACGGGTCACGGCGTAAGCTTCTTCGATACCGACGAATCGACAGTAGCCACTAATCAGTGTGTTGTAAGTGACGACATCGGGAGCAACACCTAATCTGATTCCGTCTATGATCAATGATTCGGCTTTCTCCAGTTTCCGGAATTTGCAGAGAGAATCAACGCATATGTTCAATAACCTCGTCGATAATCCGGTGAATTTCACCAACCCAGAAACCATATTCTCTCGGATTAAACATAGAAGAATGGTAGAGGAAGCAAGATTCGGAGCTGGGTTCGTGACATTGAATGTAGGAAACTAAAGGGTTCACGAATGTAGCTTTGTAAATGGAGAAAAGTTTGAGAATTCAGATGCAGATCTCGGCGAAGAATGTGATTGTCGTCGGAGACGGAAAAAAAATGTAAAATTTCAAAACAAAAATCCCCGTTGCAGCATCTGAGAGGGGATTTTACCAGAGCAGTCTTCAACTTTCAAGTTTATACTGCAATAACCCCTAAGTTTATTTATTTTATTTTGTCCAATAACCCCAATTTAATCATTTTATATAATTATTGTCCACTAATAATAATAACTCACATTTTGGGTAGCCAAAAAAAATGTCAAATTGTCCGTTCTTATTATTAAACTCCCGGAAAAAAAAAAATTCACTAATTAGTATCAAGTTAAAATTTCTACCTAAAGGCTAAGAGATGTATATATATAATCAATACAACAACAAGAAAATAAATGAACTAATTGTCAAAAAATGAAAAAAAAGTATAATCTGTTTAGTTCTTTAATTTACCGATTGTGTAGCAACCGTTTGATCGGAGACTTCACCAAACCGACGATGATCATATCCTCTGTTTCTAACAAGCTCAGCAAAAGTAACACAACTCTCTGTTTGGCTATGTCCTCTTGTAACCTTAATCTTCACATGCTCCGGTAATCTCAATGTATACTTATCTTCTTCCTCCGGTTTATTTCTTACTATTGAATGTCCCGTAGAATGTGATCTCGAGAATTTCTCCGGCAAAGTTTGTTCTTTTTTCGATCTTTCGTTGTTTACACAACTGCTCTGTCCCGAAGACGGCCAAGTATCAATCGGTGTTGTTGTCTGATTATGATGATGATGATGTTGATCGTCGTCATCATCGTCGCTTATTTCTTGAATCACATTGATGATCATCTCATCGACGTTAGAGAGAGTATTGTTGTTGTTCTCCGGCGGCGGGGGAGGATCAAGATCGTGGCGACAAACAGGACAAGTTTTGTGAGATTCGAACCAAAGATCGATGCATTCTTGGTGAAACACGTGGTAACACGTGGTCAAGAGACGTAGCACGTGATCTCCGTCGAATTCGAGCAAACATATGGCGCATTCGAGGCCGTATTTCTCTTCCCGGAGATCTTTGACGGAGGAATAAGGAAAAGTAGGAAACGAGTTTATGATTCGAAGCTCGAGGCCGGGATTGACCGGAGGAGCATCCGGTGGCTGGAGAGGATTGTCGGTTGCTCCGGCTTCTCCGCCGTGTTGGATACGCCAAGCTTGCATCAAGGTGTCGAGAAAACACTTGCAGAAATAGAGAGTGAAGAAACCGATGAAGAAGAAGACGAGGAGGATTACGGTGAGGATCACCGTGAGAGGCGGCGTGACGTAATGGTTTGATGGAGCTTGCGGCGGTAAAGGTGAAGGAATTGTCGACATTACGGTGGCCGGAGACTGATTATCTCCGCCGTGAGAATTCTCATACACGATCAAACAAGATCGAGCAAGAGAAATAAAGAGAGATAGATTTAATGTTTTTTTTGGTTTTTTTTTTTTAAATTAAGAAAACGATTATTATCTGGCTCAAGTGTGTGGAAAGCTGTGTATGGTATGAGAGAAAGAGTGGAAGTTTTGGTTACTAAAAATAGAAAGTGTGTTTTGGGTTTTTGTTTAGTTTGTTTGTTTTGTTTGCTTAGTGCTATGCATTGAACGAGTCCTCTGTGACATTTGTTTGACGTTAGGCCACCTAGTCCTTAAAAATAGTACGTGTGTTGTTTACTTTCTGTGGTATTAAGAGTATATTCAGTTTACTCCTCCTAGGAAACAAATTTACGTATAGTCATCACTGTGGGAATATGGAATTTATTTTTTACCGAATTCAAAGTTTACCCAAATGAAAATTTTAGTTTAGTGATGATAAACCGAAGGAGTACATATATAAGAGATTACACTGATATCCTTAATTAGGATCGATTTTTCTCATTCTGATTCAAGACTCAACTATTTTTTAGATATTCATTGTTTTTTACATATTCAGTGGCCCTTTTATTTTTTACATCAAATATTCTTATTCTAATTTGTGATTCAATTATTTTAAAGATTCAATGTATTTACTTCACATAAAAAAAGTTTCTTCATCGTATTCTTTTTCTGATTTAAAAACTCGATCACTTTCACATCAATCCCTTATATAGACTCGGATAGACTTTTGTTTATACACATTGTACTTTTTCTTTTTTTAATAACTTAGGAAATCATAGATTTATGGAGGGGTCTAAATTATCTCTAGAAGAGGTGCATTTTATAAATATATCATTTTTTGGATATTCAAATGGATTGAAAGTAAAATCCCATACTTTAATGGTTAAATGGAAATGATCAAAATAACTTCATGTTTAAAGAAAATCGATTTTTGATCTAAATTCACACACTACAAAATAAACGGTGTTTAGCGTTATGGTTTCTAACCTGAATTTGAAATTGAAACAAGTCTTAATTTGTGTTTTGTGAATCGTACTTTGAAACCTTAATTTGAGTACCTAATTGAAACAAGCCTTAATTTTTGATTTGTGAAAACTTTTGTTTAAAGGGTTTTCGGTGGCAAATCTCAATTCCTGAAGTGACAGAATGTGATTGCTATAGAATATGATAGAACGTGATTGCTCAATGATTATGGTTTATGTGGCTATAGCCATATGAAGTCTCACAAACCCTACAAAGTGAGAACGTAATTGCTATAGTATTTTTTTAAAAAATGATGTTAGAACATTTCAGATTTACTCTTTAGAATATTTGAAAATCGTATATTCAGATTGTTTTGTGTGATCAATTGCTATGGTTGTACTTTCACCTGTCTTTCTCTTTTGGTGATACTGTATCACCAAAATGAATGATTACTCATGTATTTTCCTATTTTTGTAAGGCATTAGCGAAGCTTCCTCAAATGATTTCATCTCTGAATACTTATACAACTCATATTTCAACACCACTCCCAAAGGTCAGTTTTCACATTAATATGTACATGATAATTTATCTATAAGTGAGAATCACTAAACCATTACCATTTAGTTACATTGTATTCTCTTGATGGATCAGATCAGCTCGTCCTTGCTACCTGGTGGAGCCAGTGTTAACGTTGGCCAAATCGACCAAAGCATGCCGATTCCTAAATTTGTATAGCTCTTAATGGTTCTGTTCTCCATTGAACTTGATAGCCAAACCAAAATTAGGAACTCTTCGATCTTTGAATTGCTAAATTCAACTTCCAACTAAAATCATCATTCTTACAACGCCATTTCGCCAGTAATGGTCAAGTTTGGGCATGGTGAAAAGGGGTTCGAATCACTGCCGTTTCATCTATCCATTAATGATTTCCTTTTTTCATATGAATGAAATGGAATAATAACGCTATCCATAAGGATGAGATTTGCTTATAAAGAGCAAAGAAACAAAATATAAACTCATCCGTAGTCACTTACTTATTGGGGACCTATTGTTATATTGGTGTCATTAGTTAAGTCAAGTAGGGGGCTGAGTAAAGTTATTTTCATCTTCCATAGTTCGTAAAGTAACTGTTCTTTTTGTAAGATAAGGTTATATATACCTTTAACAATGTGAAACAAAACGGACAAAACTAAAATACTATATTTTGTATACTCGACAAAACCTTATCTTATCTTATCAAATAAGAAAATTGGCCAAGTGTAACTGTAGTCAATCCAGATCTTCAAAACTTTACAGGTAATAAAAACAAGAAAAGGAGATGTCATTTTGTGTGATTGTGATCACAAATTAAAATCAATTTACACAATCACATTAGACGCACTGAACTGAGTTCAATGATAGTCTTGTTGTGATAACTGTACCACATCAATAAAGACATAATCATACGCCAAATCTTTCGTCGATAGAGATTAATTCCCTACATGTTAGAAACGTTATTGAGATGATCAGTATATACTTGGTCGGAAGATAATCATACGTAACGAATATAGAGTGTGCATGAGAGAAATGTCGTTACATGTATACTACTAATAGTAATACTGTTATGTTCTCAAGTCACACCGTTAATCAATTACATTTGAATATTTGATTGCAATTTTTAAGACAACAATAAATGCATGTAAAGAATGATAATTTTAGTTATTTTTTTGATGTATATATATATATATATGATTTTACTCATATTTTTATGATTCTGACGCGCCAATGGTATTCAATAAAGTGAAAAATACAATGGTAAGGGTGGTTTCGTAAGTCTGGGTGCAGAAACGAAACCTCTAACATATCCATCCAAGAGTAAAATATCCTACACTCGCTTAAGTACGAAGAACCCGTACAGCCTCACCGGGTCCCACCATCACCTCCACGTGGCATTCAAACAGCAGTTAATCTCGTGGGCCTTCACGTGCAAAACCTTCACACGTGTTCATCGTCTTGTAGCTGATTCTTCCCCTCTCTTATGGTCATCGCATCGGGCGGCTGAGAAAAAACCAACTTTAAGTCCATCACACGAAAGAGGTGATGTGGCGACAAAATGGCGCGAGATCGTGAAGGTAAAAAAGTCAACAGATCCAACGGTGGATGTGAAACAAAAGTCAGATGATTAAACGAATCTATATATAGCAAGAAATGAGAGATTCGTTGATGGAGATATATTATCATCACACTCTCGGAAGATCGAAGAGAAGGAAAAAGCTGAAATAGAAGTTTCGTGATGAAATCTCTTCTGATGAGAACCGGCTCGATGCCGGTTCTAAACCGGTTTATTCCGTCGCGGAAGGTGACGACGATCTCCAGGCACAACTCCGTGGAATCACTATCCAGCTACGGGGTCGAGGGATTCACCGGCGGTAAGATCTCGATCGAGGTCAAGGCTGCGGTGGAGATGCGGAGGGTGTCTTCGGAGAGTGATGTGATTAGATCTGAGAGAATGTTGAAGAGTGTTGGATCCACCAAGCCTTCGCCGGCGAAAATCCCGGAGGACGACGAGGAGGAAATGAGGTTCGCCGATGGTTGGGGATCTTTGATCTGGAAGGAGAGTGGAATTCCTGTGGAGGAGCAAGGATTCTCCGGTGGTGGTGGTGGTGGTGGTGGATCTGGTTACAGCGGCGGTAATGGAAACGGAAACGGAAGCAGAGGAGGCGGTTACGACGATAGAAGCAAGATCGGTGATTATTATCGCGAAATGTTGAAATCGAATCCCAATAATTCGCTTCTTCTGATGAACTACGGCAAGTTTTTGTACGAGGTAAGATATTTCGAATTTGAGGTCGAAATTGGAGAGATTAGGGATTTCAGATTTTTGAAATCCGCTTTTGGATCATTTAGGTGGAGAAAGATGCAGAGAGAGCAGAAGAATACTACGGGAGAGCAATACTTGCGAATCCAGGTGATGGTGAGGCATTGTCAATGTATGGAAAACTGATATGGGAAACGAAGAGAGATGAGAAGAGAGCTCAATGTTACTTTGATCAAGCTGTTCATGCTTCTCCTGATGATTGGTAATATGTATATGTTTGATTCTTGATTACTGTTACTAATTACCCAATTTGAGTTTTCAAATTATCTTAAAAGGGTTTGTGTTGTTGTTGTAACATGGCAGTATGGTTTTGGGATCATACGCACATTTCATGTGGGAAGCAGAGGATGAAGAAGAAGAAGAAGAAGAAGAAGGTGAAATAATGGCTGCATCAGCGGCTATGGTTTCTGCGGTTTAGACTAACACGAAGAAGTGGAGTTTGTGACTATATGTATCAACAAGTATCAACCTTTTTTACTATATATTCTAACTCTTTTGTTTTTACTTGCGATGTAATAGCAACTTGAGGAGCAATAAACATGTTATGTGAAAGAAAACGAATGTAATAATTAACCTTAAAAAGAGAATAAAAAGGCTTCTGTAAAGCTTTGTATAATAAAGATTTCTTTATCAGAATTTTGAAACTAAAGTGGGATAAATTCATTGATTATATGAGTAAAAAAAAAAAGAGAAGAAGTGTTTTTTATGATCATCACAATCAAAAGAAACTAAGAAACAAACTAACAAAGATGAATTGAAACCTACTTAACATCTCTCTATTTATCTAAAACCAAAGCTAAATTAAAGAGAAGTAGGACCAAGAAGAAGAAGACGAGAGAGAGTAAGGAAGCTCAATCTAACTTATGGATGATTCTGATAAGAGAGATGTCGTAAAAAAGGAACAGAGAAGCAGAGACCGACCCATGAAAGCATCTTTGTTTATTGAGTATTGTGGCTAGTAGGCCAGAGATGATGATGGTACATCGGCATAGGCATTTGGTGAAGTGGTTGTGGCGTAGAGTTCCCAAATAGTCCGTGACTGTTGTGATTGTTGTTGTTGTTGCTGTTGCTACCTCGGTGCAACGGAGAGTTACTTTCGTTTTCCTCCGATGACTCGCTCGAATGTTGCTGTCCCTGAGACCGAGGGCTTCCTGTTCCACCACCACCACCACCAAAGCTCAACATATTGGCTGGTGCTGAAGCTGGCTCAGGGTTATTGTTCTGCGCACGCACCACGCTTTGTTTCTGTTTCTTGCAGTCTGGCACAAAGCTTCCAACAACGACCTATATATGTATGAAAGTCAGTATATCTTGGAAGTTTTGTGATTTTTAAACTCGAGTTTTAAGGAATTTCGAATAACCTGCACTTGTGATCCAGCTACTAGAACTCCAGAAACACAACCACCTAGAATATGGCCATCGGGTCTAGCCAGAGATACACTCAAGTTACCACTTTTGGTCACAGTACCATTACTCTCAGAGTTCAAGAAAGAGCCTGACATGGAAATGATTTCATATGGGCCCTGTAAATGTCAAACACATCAAAACAGAGCTCAATACAAACATCACAAGGACCAAACCAGACTAAACAAAAAAACAGAGCTCAAATCACACCATGGAGTAAGAAGAGCACAAGGTTACATATACATACATACCTCATACTTAACAACTCCAGTAGGATTGATGGGATTGTTAGCTTGACGAAGCATCACACTAGACACAGCTCCTGTTGCTGAGAGAATACAGATCGCGCGTGGTCCTTGATTCGTAAACGCCATTACCTTCATAGCTATGTCCTGAATCGAATGAAAAAGATCATAACTTTATTACCCTCTGATATTGACAAATTCAAGATTGATAATTCTAACAACAACACATTACCTCTCCAGTTTTGACCTCAATGACATGAGGTGTAAACCCAACTCCTCCTGTTCCTCCTGCTCACACAGACGAAAAAACCCAGAAACCTATTAAGTAATCGAGATTTTGATCTGATCAAAAAGGGTTTTAAGGATAGATCGAGTTTTTGACTGTACCTAAAGCGTCGAGCTGCTTCTTGCCGGAGCCAGGAGGACGACCTCTATTGCGTTTAGCAGGTGGATCGGAAGAGTTCGCGTTAGCTCCTCCGCCGCTATCTCCACCACCTCCTCCGTCTGTTCCACCGCCGTATGAATTAGAAGCTGAAGGAAGAGGCGATGTAGGAGCCAAAGCGAGGCCAATGTTGCCATCAGGAGCATACTTCCTGGGTCGTCCTCGTTTCTTCTTCGCCTGCTGTTGCTGTTGCTCGATCCCGAATCGCATCGACTGTTGCTGGGTCGCGGCGGAGGAAGGCGATCCCTCGAATCCGAGAGATTCGAGAGTTTTCTGGTCCATCTGTTGCTGTGGCTGAGGATGATGATGATGGTGATGAGGCTGATGGTGATGAGGGTGTTGCTGATGATGCTGAGGCTGATGCGGCGAGAGAGAGCTGAAGGGCAATAGGTGGTGCATCGCCTGAGATGTGGAGGTGGGACCCATTAACGCGGCGGCGTTAGGGTTTCGATTGTAGGAACCCATTAACATCCCAGGCGGTGGTTGTAGCTGCTGCTGCTGATGATGATGCTGTTGTTGCTGCTGCTGCTGCTGCTGTTGGTGGATTTCTCTAGAATCCATCGAAGATTAGAGAGAGAAAGAGAAAGGAGGAAAATTTATCTGTTCTCTCTCTTTGTTTAGTTAATTTTAGGGTAATTTTTCTGGGAGACCCAATTTTCTGTTTTACGAATGCCGAGAAAATAGACGAGAAAGTGCAGGTTTTTGAGTTTTAAGCGAAAGCGTGTGAGCTAGCTAACAACTCTCTCTCTCTTCTTGAGTTCTTCAGAGATGTAGAGAGAGAGACGATCTGTGTTTTTTTTTTGCTTCTTCTTGATTTAATTAGAAATAAAACAAATTACAAAAAAAACAAATCATCTTTGGTTTAGGAAGGTTATCACTTTTCAGGGGATTTGGTTTTGTTTTTCTTTAATTTTAATTTTAATTTTAATGAGATAAAATCTAAACATATAAATTTTAGTTAGGATTTTATTAGCCTTGTGAATGTGCAGGATAGGATTTAAGGAGAGGGAAAAAAAAAGAGTTTGTCTTTAATGATGATGTTCAGTCCATTTACACTTTGTAGTTGTGTAATGTACTCTTTGGATTTGGTGTCCTCCTTTAACTCTCTCTACTTCTTTTTTTTTTCTTTTCATTAAATATATTTCAATTCTTTTTGGTTTTTTCACATAATTTGCAATGTTGCATTGAATGAACAGAGTTTGGTATTGGAAGAGAAACTAAATCGGAATGAAAGGCATTAAAGTTGAATGTTAGGAAGGATTATTAGTTTGGTGACTTTTTTTTTTGTCATTTGAGTATAGAATTTAAGGTCTTGACTTAAACTCTCTACCGAAGTGGGTACTAGAAAAAATTACAAAAAGAAATTTTCTAAATCAAAGTTTTAAAATAGAGAAACAAATGCACAAGAATTATTAAGAGAATAATAATATTTAATAAATTAATGTAAACTAGTATAGATTTTGGTTTGACTGTGTGTTTTGGAGATCCAAATAAACATGGGATTTGTACTTTGATGTGTCAGATTTTCTTAAGTATAAGTATATCCTCATCAGATCTTAAAAAAACAATCACTACTTTGAAAATGACAGCAGCTTATTTTGACCATTTTGTCCTTCTCTTGCCTCATCATTTTAAGAAAAATATAATTTTCAGAAATATATTTGTATACTCCAATATAGTAGATTCCAAATTAATTAACAAACATAACGTACTGATTTTTTTAATGCTACGCCACATAAGAAAAATAGATCCACTGAAATATAAATCTAATACCCAATAGCACAAAAAATCAAAACTTTATTTTCTGTAAATGAAAAAAAAGTGTAACATTCAAGTTTTAGCATCCATATGAACCAGATTTGGTTATGTAACGAACCCACTCGACCGTGTTACATCCACTCTTCTGCCCCCATACCTGTCTGTCACGAGATTATCAAATTCACACCGGTTTAAGTTTTTGTATCGGTTCCACAAAAACCCGGTTTAAATCAAAGGACAGAAGACTGTGTGATCTGTATTTTTGGTTTTGCGACAATCAATGAGAGAAAGCACAAAACTTTTTTTGGTGTCTAGGTAGCGGCTAAAGTGATTGACTTTAATAGACAAACAAGCAACAAAAGCAGTTTGTTAAAAGTTTAAGCCATGCGCGTACCTTAAGAAACCGGACACGTAAACAAGATGCTGTGAACATTGGTTTCTGAAAACAGAAAAGATGTTGAGGACATTTCAAAGCCGATTCTTTAGTGTTTATCAGTAAATTCAGATGACCTGAACTTCAATTTGGATCGGTGGTCTTGTGAGCCAAATAATTGGGCCTGGTTTTCATAAATCTAACCCAATAGCCAATAGCAGCAATTCAAAAGTAAATTTGTACTATATAGAGATTTACCGCGCCGTTAAAAAATTAAAAAAATTGGATATGATTTAGGAAATAGAGAAAGGCGCAAAAGCAAAGAAGAAAGATCCTTTCTGATCCCTGGATCCGCACTGGATCCTCCTCCATTTTCGACGCATCAGAGAAAGAAGGAGAGAGGCTGAGCGGTTCGCGTGTTTAGAGACTGGTCTGAGGATTGTCTGATTCTGGTCTAATTAAGGAAACTTTGAAGAAGTAGAAATTGGGTTTTAAAGGAAACAGTTTCCAAAACCCTAAGAAACTGTTTCCGATTAACAGTCGGAACTTCTGGGAGAGTTTGATTGCTTCTTGGGTTTCAATGGGTTTTCTTAAGAAGTTGGCGGGTGTGTTTGGATTTGGGCAGGAAGTGGTGAGAAATGAGGATGATGATGGAGGAGACGGTACAGGAATAGATTCCGGCGACGGAGATAAGCGGCGTGGAGATAACCAGCCGAGATTTCGTGAAACCGGACTACCCAGAAAAGGATTCGGAGTTCCGGTTCAAGTCGCCGTCGAAAGGTCACAACTTGGTCCTGTTCTTCAGCCTTGCGCCGCCAGAGACGGTGGTATTCAGGTTTGTAAAATTTCCGATTTTTGGAACTTTTGCTATAGGTTTGATTAGTGCTTGATTGCTATATCAAATTCTGGAACTTGGCTAATGAGTTTTCTAGTTAGCAGGATTAGCTCAATCGTTGATAATCGTAGATTATGTTCTACATAGTCCTTAGCTTGATTTTCTTAATTTGATTTACAATATTGATTTCGATATTTCTGTTTTTTTCGGCGGCAACTTTACCTCAGTTGCTTTAGTTTTGATTGCTCAGAAACCAATTCTCCAATTGAACTGTTGAACTAGATTTTCGTATGTGTAGATAGTTCATTGTCTCTTTCGTTTTTTTTATTTCTATTCGTAAAGACAATCTGTAGAGAAAACAAGTTCTCCAATCTCACTTTCTATGTAGTGGAAGCGAAACTGTAACCTTTTCTATAGCTTTCTTTAACTTTATTGGTTCACATAGTCTCTTTTCCATGACTCTATTGGTTTGCTTCTCTAGTTCCCCTCAGGATTCGATAAACATTCTCAACCGAATCTCTTGATTTATACAGTGTTAGATTGTGAAGCCGTTAGGTCACTATATTACTAAAGAGATTGCATTGTCTTTTTGGGTTTTTTTCCCCATACTATGTTATAGTTCTCTTTTGTATTGAATCAGGGACTAAGGTGGTATACAAAACGGCTAAGGGTCGATGAAGATGGAGATGTTGCGGATGAGTTTTTGGAAGAAGGAGAGAAACAGACAAACGCTGAAGATGATAACGTAAAGACTATGCCAAGACTCGAAGCCAAGCGTAGAACAACACCTGCTAAAGTAAGAAGACTAGTTGTGTCTTCTAATGGGAAACTCCAGCAATGCATCGAACATCAAGGAAGATTACTTATAGTATGAATGGTCTGAACAACACGGAGAGGTTTAGGACAGGGTTTTGTTTCTTCAGCATTTCCGATCATGGTATCAAACAATAGAAGAACACTTCTTGTGATGATTATTGATTTAGATTCTGCAATGAGGATTTGGTTTTTGATTCTTGAGCAAAACAAGACCAGTTTTTTATAATTAGACAGACACATAGTTGATCTAATGGATTATGTAATTTGTATTACTACGAGTTATTCTGTGTTTATACATATAATATGATCAAATCTCTTTTGGTTTTTTATCAGGACCCAAGTTTCTTCTTTTAGTCCCTTGTTTTTGGTAGTTTCATTTGTTTCTTCAACAATCTTTTCTTCTGACACGAGGAGAGAACCCACATGAGCGACGTGGACAACACACGAGAAATCTGGTAATCTCAAAAACTCAACCAACACAACACCCTAAAGTAAATGAACAGCTGTTCTGTTGTATACAAAAGATACCACAAAGGGAATCGTATGTCCTTTAAAACTTCATTGGTCTTTTTATAGTTTACTTAATAATATGACTACAACAAACTAATGTAGATCTATAAATGATTACAGTGACCAAATCTCGTTCACCTACTAAACATGGTATGCATGTGTTGTGTGTAAACATGGAATCAATTGATCACTCGTTTTGATTTTCTTGCATTTTGTAAAAATGAATAGTATAAATATTGTTAAATTTTATATCAGATTACGGCGCTAATTGTAATAATCTGAAGTTCACATTAATGTAGAATCAGGAAAAGAATCATCTAAAACAAATTCAAAAATTCTTAGGTTAATCAACTAGCCACATTGGAAGCAAAATACGAATTTTCTTTGGAGGGGTAGATTCATAAATTGAGCTACAAAGACTCCAACAAATTTCATTTTAGTGAGCTGTATATCAAACTCACAAGTCGCAAGACTCGCAGCCCGTGTCATCATTAATATTGTTCACGATTCCTTTTCCCTTTTGGTAGAAGAATACGGTAACAGAGTTAGAGAGTTTCATTTCGTGAAAATACGATTTTCTTAAAACAATTCTCCATTTGTCCCTTTATATAACATGTTTTAATTTATTCCATTTTTTTTTTCAAGTTTCTGTGTAAAAAGTTAAGTAAATCTAATGTTTTGTGACAACTAATATTTTGCAGTACTTTTTTCTATTGGTTGATTTATATTTAGTACAGTATGATATTAAATGGTATTTTAAATGTAAACAAAAATAAAAAAAACCAATAGTAGTATATTTCTTATACTTTGTGCTTTTAACTCAAACATCTTATATAATGGGACAGAATGAGTATATGTTTTTATAATCATGTTTTTTTGGTACTAAACTATTTCATATAAATAAACTAACCTGACCAGATAAACTTTGCACTATAGAGAACTGATTCCAAAATTTCAAAAAAAAAAAAAAACTAGAAATAATCAAAATTGTCTGGTTGATTCATTTGTTGAATTTAGTAGTCTCATTTGGTTGTTCTACTTAGTTTTTCGAAATTATATCAAATGATTTTTATTAGACAGAGATGTATAACTTAATTAGATATTATGACATTTACATTGCGTTTTTATATTTACTTAATTTCGGGATTTACGTGGCATTTAATTGATATGATGTGATTTTAAAACCCAATTTATAAAACATGTAGTTGTCCCCGTGCAATAAAAAGAAGGTAGACATGTGTTATGTGTCAACGTTAGTATGGCCTTAAAGGATCCAAAATGTCAACTGTAGTTGAGATAGTTATAACTTGTTTAAGACTTTCTTCGATGCATGATGCATCCCGCAACTATACATGCTTTAAATTGTTTTTTTTTTCTTTATCACCGTACTAACTTATGTTCCCTAATGAAATCAAATATCGTTTTTATGATTTATCAGAGTGGGCAATATAATTTAAATTTGTATATGTGTAGACTATTGGCATTTTTTCTCGTCTATTTTATGATCATCACTTGTTGTGTTTGAAAACAGAAGTTCGTGTAAGGAGTTGACAAAGTGACGTATATCTCTACTTGTGTTTATGTTATACTAATGTTACTAAAAGTGTATATCTCTACTTGTGTTTATGTTATACTAATGTTACTAAAAGTGTATATCTCTACTTGTGTTCTTAATATAAGAGGCCCACATATATTATATATAACATAGATAGTTTTTTTTCGAACTACTTTTTAACAATAACTGGGTGACATGCACATGCATGCTTATGAATATATACAAATGCTAATATCAAGAATAATGATCGGGATCACTAATTTTATAATTAGTTGCATTATATATGTAACGTATGCTAGTTTAATATCTTTTCAATAACTTTTGACTTAGTTTTATTGATCTTGTGAATAAAAGAGAAAAAGGTACTCTTTAATTTAAGTTCAACATCAATAATTGCAAGTCATGTGAAACCTATCAATCTAATTTTTCCTCACTTGCCAAAAGAGAATACTATATTTGTATCTATTAAAAGAAATTATGTAAAATCTTATAACCATGTAGAGGTAAAAATGTAATACCACAAATTTTTGTATTACCATGTTGAATAAACACACAAATTATGTTATCAGTAATTTAAATAGTAAATTTGTAAAACAATTTTTAAACAACGTTAGGCGAAATAGAATAAAATGCTCATTAAGCAAAACTGTATCGTTTATTTTGCCATAAAAATGACAAGAACATCACAATACAACATTTTGTGATCTATTTAAAAAAAAATCATATGACATGTTAAAAATATTATTACCAATCGAAACCTGAATGAATGAGATTCTTGTAGTTCAACCAACACAATCACACGTATTAACTTGTTTCTTCTGGCCAGCTATATAGTATATGCATTGCATACGCAAATCAGATCCATCACTCTCTCTATATATACATACATATACACACACACAAAGACCTATATATAAAGAGTTACACAATAACAACATTTTATTTCTATTCTTGTATACTCTTTTAGAAAATAAAGTGAGAGAACCAATTTCTTTCCCTCAAAATGTCAAACAAGGTTCACGTAGGGAGCATTGAGATGGAGGAGGGTTTGAAAAAGACGAAGTGGAAAGTTTTAGAACCTTCGGAGAAGATCAAGAAAATTCCGAAAAGGCTTTGGGCTATCGGGAAAGAAGATCCAAGGAGGGTTATACATGCCCTTAAAGTAGGTCTTTCCTTAACACTTGTCTCTTTGCTATATCTCATGGAACCTCTCTTCAAAGGCATTGGAAGCAATGCCATTTGGGCCGTCATGACCGTCGTTGTCGTCCTCGAGTTCTCTGCCGGTAAATTCAATCCGGCCCTATAATAGGCACACATAATTAATTAGTGATGTAATGTAAGTGTAACGTTTGTTTACTTTCTTGATTCTTCAGGTGCAACGTTGTGCAAAGGGCTCAATAGAGGATTAGGGACACTAATTGCGGGATCTTTGGCATTTTTCATTGAGTTTGTAGCTAATGATTCCGGAAAAGTTGTTCGAGCTATATTTATTGGCGCTGCTGTTTTTATCATAGGTTTGCACTTTTTGTATATACATATTTTTACCTATTTGATGCATTTATTGTTATAAAGTTGAAGTTTCTAACCATAATTCAACAATAAAACTACTAATATATGTTTGCTTCTAATGGTTACAGGAGCGGCCGCAACTTATATAAGATTTATCCCATATATAAAGAAGAACTACGATTATGGTGTTGTGATATTTCTCTTGACGTTCAATCTAATAACGGTTTCGAGCTATCGAGTAGACAGTGTGATAAACATAGCACACGATAGATTCTACACTATAGCTATGGGTTGTGGAATTTGTCTTTTCATGAGCCTTATGGTTTTTCCTATTTGGTCCGGTGAAGATCTCCACAAAACTACCGTCGGTAAACTCCAAGGCCTCTCTCGCTCTATAGAAGGTACGTATAGCATATTAAAAGTTCTTAGAAATTATATATTTTATGTTCGTTTTTCATAGTTTTTATTTGTGTTTGTACGTACGTATAGCATGTGTGAGTGAATACTTTGAGGAGAAAGAGAAAGAAGAATCAGATTCAAAAGACAGAATCTATGAAGGGTATCAAGCTGTTTTGGATTCTAAATCCACCGATGAAACACTTGTAAGTCAATTTTTTATAGTTCTTCATTTAAAATTAAAAACAAAAAAATTAAAAATATAAAATAATATGAAATAAAAATGGAGCAGGCATTATATGCAAATTGGGAGCCAAGACACACGAGAGGATGTCATAGGTTTCCATGTCAACAATATGTTAAAGTTGGAGCTGTTCTTCGCCAATTTGGTTACACTGTTGTTGCTCTTCATGGTTGTTTACAAACTGAGATTCAGGTGAGCATAATTATATATTTACTAATGTGTTTTTGTCACTAAACTAAATTAATATTCTAATTTTTAAATTCAAGACTCCAAGATCTGTTCGCGCGCTTTTCAAGGATCCTTGTGTAAGATTAGCCGGAGAAGTATGCAAAGCTTTGACGGAACTCGCCGACAGCATCTCCAACCACCGTCACTGTTCGCCGGAGATTCTCTCCGATCATCTCCACGTGGCACTCCAAGACCTTAACTCAGCTATCAAGTCTCAGCCTAAACTCTTCCTTGGCTCTAATCTCCATCGTCACAATAATAAACACCATAACGGCACCGTTTCACAACGCAACAATAGTAACCACGAGAAAGGCATAAACGGCGACGTTTCGAGTAAAATTGCAGAATCCGGTTCACGTAAAATCACGGAACCCGGTTCGCGTCAAGGCCAAAGCGGAGCCGTTTCGCTCTCGAGCTTCAGGACTGATACGTCAGCTTTAATGGAGTATCGGAGATCGTTCAAGAACAATAATAATAGCTCCGAGATGTCGTCGGCGGGAGAGAGGAGGATGTTACGGCCACAGCTGAGCAAAATCGCGGTGTTGACGAGCCTCGAGTTCTCGGAGGCTTTGCCGTTCGCGGCGTTTGCGTCGTTGCTGGTGGAGATGGTGGCGAGGCTTGATAATGTAATCGAGGAAGTGGAAGAATTGGGAAGGATCGCCTGTTTTAAGGAGTACGATAACACGCGAGATCCGACGGCTGAAGATGTACGATGCGAGAAACCGGCGAATGTTGTGATCAGTGTCGGCGCCGCGGAATGAAGCAACGACGGCGATAAATAATATTTTTTTGGACTTTTAATTGTATATTAGAGAAGACGGAGATTAATTAAACCGATCGGTATAAGGAATCGATAATGCCATTCGATTTGGTTCGGCATGATTTGGTATAAATCTATCCTTTTCGTGTCTTCTTCATCTTCAGAATTTACTAATAAGAAACATCAGTTATAATGCGGTATACAATTGAATCTTCAATTTTAATTTAGTGAATAAAAAGTTATACATATATATATATATGCGATATGTTGGTGTTGTGTAACGAATTAAGAGGCTGGCTTCGTCAGAAAGTACCAAAAAACATGAGATGTGTTGTTACTCCTTGATGCTGGTTATTTATGGTAGGCACTTTTAACAATGGAAATTCGTTTTTTAAGGAAAATGAAAAAAGAAGGGCCCAACCGGGTTCGAACCGGTGACCTATTGATCTGCAGTCAATTGCTCTACCACTGAGCTATGGACCCAATTTGTTATTTCGCTACACTATTAAATATATGTACAATAAAATAATTATTTACATCATCGTAAATATTCTATAAAAGGTTTTAGTAATCGAATGAATTTTTTTATGATGTAGAAAAAAGGTGAATAATCGAGTGATATATATATTGGAATATTGTTGTGAAGTGTTAAAAAGCAATGAATCTTTCAAATTAATACTCTTGTAAATTTTGGTAAACAATGAAATGTAAAAATGCTCGTGATAAAAACAATTTAATTACAGTTCTCCAACAAGTGAAAAATTGCAAACTTTTAGAATTTCATACATCTTTAAACAAATTGCTGTGTCACAGATTTTCCCCTTTTTACATTTTGTATTTTCATATATTCGTCTTTTTCTTTTTCCAAATTCCCTTTATGGATTTTCAAAAACTATATATCTACATAACTTAAAAATAAAATGGTCCCGAATCAATTGCTTTTATTGAAAACAGGGTTTTCTATGCAAATGATTGTTATCACTTCCAAAAGTTGGTTTAAAGATTAAAGGTTATGTAGTTTGGTCCAATTAATGATTGGGAGAAATGTGATTCTCTTTGCATATATCATACGACTCTTGTCATATTATCCTTTAAAGTTTTACAAATTTAGGAATTTATAATAGTCATTCCACAGCATACAATACATTCATTAAACCAAAACCACAGTAAAATGCCAGAGACTCCAAATTTTATGACAAACCAATTTTGATCTTCTTCCGAGACTCCAACGTTAAAAGGCGTCTTTGTCCTGAAGAGAGACCCGCACATGTCCTAGAAAAGGTTTGAGTAATCGAATGAACCGGTTTGGTCGTTTTCACATTTATATCCAATTAACTAAATGAAAAGATAAAATCAGAAAGGATATCTTACAAAATGTAAAAATTATGTAAGATAATAGTCTTTATTTTAAAAAAAAAATAATGAAATTTAAATTGCTCGCAATAAAAAAACAGCATAACTAAAGCTCCCTAATTAACAAGTGAAAAATGCAAACTTTTAGGCTTTACATCTTCAAACATATTGCTGCGTCACATTTGCCCATAGTTTTAAAATTTTCATATATTCTTTCTTTTCCTTTTTCCAAATTTCCTTTACGGAATTTCAACAACCTAATGATTACAGGAGTACATATGAAATGGTCCTAAGTCTATTGCTTTTATTGATAATATGTTTTTTTTAAGCAAATGCTTATAAGTTGTTTTGAAGGTTATAAGTTTGGTCCAATCAATGATGGGGAGAAATATGTTTTTCTTTGCATATACCATACATCAAACATATATAAAAATAAGACTCTATGATATAATCCTCTAAAGTTTTACAAATAAGAACTTTAAAATAGTCATACAGTAGACAAAACCAAAATAAAATGCAAGAGACTCCAAATTTATGATAAACCAATTCTGATCTTCTTCCAAGACTCCAACGTTAAAAGGCGTTTTTGTCCTGAAGAGAGACCTACACATTTCCTCCTAGCTAGAAAAGGTTTGAGTAATCGAATGAGCCGGTTTGGTCGTATTCATAATTTGTCCAATAACCGGGTTGCACTGATTGATCAATCTCCTGATCAACGTTCAAAAAATAAGAACTCTCCGGAACTCCCACGTGGAAGTTCGCCGTGTTGACTGGAAAATGATAGTTGGGAAAGTACTCAGAAGCAGCCACCTGACTTTGAGGATAACCCTATAATTAAACCATTATCACAAAACCAAATTAGACCAGTAGTTGGGTATACAAAACTGTTTTGGTTTAGATATTAGTAGGCACCTTTGAGGAATCAAGGATGAAATCAGGAGAAATCCAAGTGCTAGAAGGATCATTTGTAGTAGAAGAAGGCTTGAACGACTGAAACTGCATCGTTTCGTCGCGACATGGAGAGGTAGCAAGGCTAGAGCAACCTGAACCAATTGCTTGTTCATTTTTATTTTTCAAAGTCTTGGTCTTGAGCTCATTCTTCTTAACTACTCGGCATAACACGAAAGCTTCCTGAAATTCAAACATATATATGGTTCTTAGGTTCCTTTCCATTATTTTTGAAGGAATTTAATATATATCATGAAGTTGGATATATATTGAAACAAATTAGAATTTTCTTACCATGAAATTTGGTGATTTTTGAGAAAGATCATCATCGCATAGACGATATTCATGCATAAACCAATGAGTCCTATCACCCAATGGAGCACGACCTTCATAGAAAACTAGTGTTTTCCGGTATCCGGTTATAACACCCGACGATTTACAAGTAATTTTCCGGTCTTTACCGGTCGCTTTCCAATAACCGGCTTTTGTGGCTCTATTGGTTCGAGTACCGTTTGGATACTTTTTGTCTCTCGGACAGAAGAAGAACCATTCCATATCCCTATTCGGAAGGAAAGATTTATCTAAAACAACAGAGATAAAATTCAAAAAGATAACAATTCCATATAAGTTTTTTAATAATATCAACTGAAACATGTTTAGAATTTTATTAGAAATTACCTGGTAACTCCCATGGATCGAATTTGTATAAATCAATGACAGGAATGACTTCGAGCTCGATCTCCAGACCTTGTACTTTTCTACTTAAGTAATAGCCTATAAGCTCTTCATCAGTTGGATGAAATCTAAATCCTGGAGGTAAACATGAACTTCCCATTTGCATGATTGTCACTTGTTGCTTGCGACACAAGAGAGACTAGATCTGTTAAATATTTGGAAAATCCAGAAATAGAAACTTTTTTCGACACTTGATCTGTTCTTAAGAAAAGGTTGCAAGTCACGTTGATTGCATCCTTTTTGTGACAAGATCATTGTCTAAAGAATCGTATGATTGCAAATAATAAAACCAACCCTAGTTACCCGAAATTCCCTTTTAAATACTTATAACTAGTAGAGAAAACAATAGATACAAAATTAAGGTTAAAAATTGGAAATAACGAATAATAGTAGGGTGGAATTTGAATTTGAAAGAAGAGGTAATTGCTACCGGTCAAAGACACTGACTGAAGAAAAGGGTGCTCTGACTTTAAGGCAGAGAGCTGAGCTATATAAGAAATCAAAAGTGATTAGTGATGAGTAATTTAGTTAGGAGAGCGATTAAGAAAAGAGAAGGTTGGTAGAGTATTGAATGGTTGTGGAGCGATTGGTATATATAGCACAATGGTTTAAACTATGGGGGCAAATTAATTAATTAATAAGTATATGGCATATAAATTTACTTGTTAATACCATTTGCACACAAAAAGTCATTTAACATCCTGAAGAAAAATATCGAGACACACCGAAAGCACATAAAGACATTGCTTGTCTTAAGAGTTCCCAAAATTCCAAAAGAAGTTGGACCTACCTGGTCTCAAAAGCTAATAGTGTTCACACCTCATTGATAACATTTAATATGATGTCAATCTTATGTGACCTATCATCAATCAAAACGTACCGTTTGAATTTTCAACTATATAATACGTGATTTCAATATATTCAACATTATTTTTGTTTCTATGTCAATCTTTGAATCTTATATTGGAGAGTAGTAATCTTTTTCTTTAAAAGAGAGTGATAGATTTCGCGGAGATCTATTTTTTCTTTGATATGAATATGAAAATGGTTTTTCTATAGTAATGTTAGTCTGAATCCGATATAACGGAACTTTTAGTTTTCGCTTTTGGGTCATAAAAATCGGTCCTAATTCTTGTGTCTTTTGTTTTTTCGATCTATATTATTCTAAACTTTTCTTGACTATTTTAAACGGCGTATAGCAATGTTCGTCCATGTCAGCATGGGTAAGACAAAATCGCTTTTAAAAATATTTAGTTAGTGTAACCCACTTGACATAGAAGGGATAACGAAACATTGACGAAATTAAATTTGTGATACTGTTATCTTTTTGCTGGACAATTGTTATTGTTTAAGATGTAAAGTTGTAGTTTAAAGTTTAGTTCCCATTAGTGTAAGACCCGATAATTGTAACATTTCAAGAAAAAAACAAACATAAAGTATTGGGAGGGACAAAAAAACGAATGACTTCGCAAGATGGAAATGTAAGGTTAGTTCTATAATACATACCTAAAACAAAAGAGGTTATTTTTATAGACAAAAAGTGCACCTTGTATAACGATGCTATAGCTTATAGCTAGAATATTCCCCCGATACTTTAGGAACGGTCACCTTAACCCCATAGGCCATAGTGGTTTTTAAAGAGAACACTAATGAAAACTGAAAAGAGAAAATGAAAGCGAAAAAAAGGCAACAAAAATGGAGACAAAGGAATAAAAGCATAAACAACTACGTCATATGGTAGGTAAAAAAAAAGGGAGCCCCTATGTTGACTACACTAGGGCCAAGTATATAGTATATATCAAAAAGTACCATATACATTTGAATACATGTTCGGTTACGACGATTTTATTTATTTATTTTAATGTCCGGGGTTGAATACATATCAGTGGCCAAATATATAATACTGTAGTTACCTAATTTTTGTATATAATAGATTCAACCGATATCACCGAGCAACAAAACTGATCTTGTTTTTACCAACATGTTTATCATATTTTCTTGTCTATAAGAAGATATAGATATATATAATTTTAATTATAACAGTTTTGCCTAAATGTGGAAAATAGATATCAAAGATATGATAAAAATAGACCAACCCACCATAATGGTCCTGGTGTATCTTGTTTTTACCAACTAGTGTATTTTTCTAATCCACAATTCCGACAATATGATACAAATATATATATATATATATATCGACAACCAAAAAGAAATTTTGGTAACTTGTAGATTGCCGTCAACTATATAAGTTATCGTACCGTCAACTAAATTCTCCACACATTTGCACCCCAAAAAAAAAAACTAAATTCTCCTATATTGTTAAAAAAAAAAATCCTATGTATAGAAAGACTATTGTTTCACTTAAAAACGATCAAAATCCTATGTATAGAAAGACTATTGTTTCACTTAAAAACGATCAAACAGTAAAGATTTTGTTTTGACTTGCACTACTTTGTGGCAGCTAAATAAGTTACGGGTAATTTTTGAGAATGAGAAGATCCCACATTTTTTTTGGTGTGTTTGCAAACCTCTCGTTAAACGAATTAATTAGCCTTCTCACTTCTCAGTGTTCGGTAGTTCCATCAATTCGAGGAGGAGGAAAGTCTTAGTGTTTCTTTAGCGCTAAGATACACCTGCATAGGTCATATATATGCTCTTCTCCTGCAACTCCTATGTTACATGAATTTGGTTTTAATTTCTTGATCTTAGAGTCTGAGGGTAAGCTAGAAGAGTTGGTAGCGTACACGACAAGTTTTCTACAAGATAGCACCAAACTCCATTGCATGATCAGTTAGCTTCCAGACGAGTAAGTTTTCTTGTCTCTTGTCTCTCGTCACTTCCCTTCTTCAGTTTCTTTAAAACTTTGTTCCTCTTTTCGTTTCTTCCGTGATCAAGGTTTTGCAAAAGGAAGATATTAAACGCAAGGTTAGTAAACTCCAGTTTGAGATCTTGGTAGCAAAAGATACAGACGATGAAGCTTAAATTTGATGGCCTATAATTGATGTTTAATCCTTTTTCCATCTTTACCATTAGCTTCTAACTATAAAGTTTCCATCTTTACCATCAACTTCGATCCATAAACAAGTTTCCATCATTCTCTGTATGAGTACTGCAAAAAACATATTTATTTTTTCATATATAGAACATAAAAACCCTAGTTCACCACAGCAATTCAACCCCTCACCAGTTTTTCTCTTAACAAGATAGAGACACAAAAACAAACAATCTTACAGTAACTCTGTTTCTTGAAAAAACCCATAAAAATATTTGGGGACTTTTCTCTTCTCTCTCTCTGTTTCTTTCCTTCAAATAACCTCAAATGCTCTGTTATTGTCGCTTAGCATCAAACGCAGCACCTTCATTAAGCATATCATTAGCATCAGTCTCCATCCCAAGCTTCGAAAGTGCTAAGGCCTGCAAGTAAAACGCGGTAGGCCACTCCGGTACGGTAACCTGAGCCTGCATTGCATCTCTCGGCGCAAGGTTCGGCTCGTCCGTCATTAAGAAGGAGAAACACCGTCTCGCGCAAACCGTCGCAGATGTACGAGGCATCATCTGAACCAACTGGTACAAACAAACATTGGATCAAAAGTAGAAAAGTTGCAGGGAAACATTACATGGCTTGGTGGAATGTGTTTGCCGCTTAAAAGATCTAAGAGAATAGCTCCATAACTGTAAATCACACTTTCAGGGACGATGCTACCTGCAAAAAAGGGGAAGAAACCCTTTTTAAATTCCACATAAAAGTTTCTCCTTTGTTCTTGAAGTAGATAAGATTCTTGTGTACCTGTTCGTAAGAACTCAGGTGGAGTATAAGCCAAGTTAGTGCTATAGCTTTTTCCATCTCTACTATTCTTCATGAGACCAAAAGTTGATAGACGAGGATCGCATTCCTCATCAAAGAGGATTCTGTATGCATTCAAATCATGATAGATCTTTCGGTTTGTGATGTTGCAGTGATCAAGCGCTTGTGCGATAAAATCTGCAACTCGAACACGCATTTCCCAAGGAAGTGGCTCATTATCCCCTACACAAAAAGAGAAAAGCATCATCATCAAGTCTCTAAAGAAGATCAAAATGAAAAAGTAGTCAGAGAGAGAAAGGTTTTCATTCACCCAAGGAACTAAATGGATCTTGTTTGGTCAATGTTGTAAAGGTTTTGGTGCTGGGTCGTGAGAAGGAAGGCATACCCGTGGACATAATCCATGTACTGGACGCTTGTGTGGAGATCCCACAGCTTGAAGTTGTTAGGTCCCTCAACGTTCATGTTAGTGGTGCCATTGCTCTATGGGAATACACTCGAGAGCAACGCATTCAATAGTTCAAATTTTTAATGCTTGTGAGAAGTTGGAAGATGTTGCTTTGAATCAAGTATTGCCTGAGAAAACATCTTTAAAACCTCTTGATATATTACATAATTTACATTTGCTACGAATCACGTACCTGAATTTGGTTATATAACCGGAAGTTTTGTCAAACCACGAATATTGAAACTCATTGTCTTCGTTTATAATTTGCAATAATATAATAGTGTAAAAGTACATAAATTTGCAGCACAAAAAATCAGTAACACACGATATACAAGAAATCAGTACAACAAACCTAACTACTTGCAAGTTGCAACCACACAAAACGTTCTTAAAAACTAACTTAAGACATTATTAAAAAATATATATGTAGAGTACAGTTGCAAGAGGCAAGTTGTAAGAGAGATAAGTGAGTATTGTGTGGTTGCGAATGGCAAGAGAGTTAATGATTTGGCTATATATGCCATGGTGGGGGAAGTAGAAGAAAAAAATATCACAGGACAATGACGTCTGTCTGTGGATTTCTTAAAGAAGGAGAAGCCGATGGAAAGTCTCAAACAAACAGTTCAAACTCTTCCTCGTCTTCGTCAGTTTCCGTTGAAACAAGCACTGATTCCGGTTCCAGCGAAACAAGCACTGTTTACGGTGGAGAAAGGGAAGAGGAACATCACAAGCAAATCATTTATGAGCCAATTCCTCCGGTAGGTGGATTTCGTGAGGGAGAAATCAATAGAAAACCATTTCACATATTCAACTTAAAAGAAGCAGTGATCAACAGTTCCGATTTGTGATTGGATCCAACATCTATGATCATACTTGTAAGCTCCCTCTCCTCCCTCTCTTTTGGTGCAACAATAAAGCTTGTGTGCATGATTGGAAAGATTTTCGTTGCGGTCTATGCGAAAGCTCAAGGCTAGGCACAGATTATTATTTATGTGCCACGTGTAGTAGAAAGTTCCACAAAGAATGCATAGAGTCCCCATTTGAGATCAAACACCCTTCTTACCCTTTTTCATCTCTCAAACTTTACCATTGCCCTCCTTCCGTCAATTTTTTTGAAAAGTGGCATTGCTCTTGTTGTCAACAACCCATCTATGAAAAGCTATATTATTGCCCGACCAACAAGTTAATTGTGGATCCAGTTTATGCGATGAAGCCAATACCCATTGTTATAGACCACCCAAAAAGACATCTTCACCTTCTCACCTTTTTCCCTAGACAAAATTTGTTACCGTGCGATGTTTGTGGCCTTATCAAAGTACATTATCCCACGTATGTTTGTACTCGGTGTGTCTTTGTAGTCCATCAAGATTGTGTCTATCACCCTTATGTCATCAGAATCTCTCGTCACCACCACCGTATCTCCTTCACCTCCTCTCTTCCTTCCGGAAAATGGTTTTGCGGAGTGTGTCGTCGAAAGGTCGATAACAGTTATGACGCATACTCTTGCAATAAGTGTGATGGTTATTTTGTTCATACAAAATGCTCATTGAGAAAAGACTTATGGGATGGGGAAGAACTCGAGGGGATACCTGAAGAACCTCTTGAGATAGTTGTTGAGCCATTCCAGAGAATAAGTGATGGAATAATCCTCCATTTTGCTCATGATCATCATCTGAAACTCGAGATCTATGGAGTTTACGATGAAGGAAAATTTTGTCAAGCATGCAGCCTTCCAATCTACGAAGGTAACTATTATTCGTGTATGGATCAATGCGACTTCATCCTCCACGAAGCGTGTGCCATTGCGCCTTGCAAGAAACAACATCCAATGCATGCTTACTCACTTACACTAAAGGTTGGCCATTTTAAATATTTGGGTGGTCAAGGTTAAACTTGTTGCCGTAAAAGTTGTGGTTTCGTCTATGAGAAACCCAAAGGTGGTTGGGATGGTTTCCAATTAGACTTACGGTGTGCATCGGTCTCTGAACCATCATCTGGATATATTACATCTTTTGTTTGATTTTCCAACGTTTCTTTCTTCCGTTAACTCTGTTGCTACATGGGTCACGTTTCAGCATATAACCCGAATCGAATTACACTTTAAAAGTAAACCGGTGAAATAAATAATAACCAAACCAAATAAAGGACCAACCTTCATGAAGAGAAACAAAATCGCCAATCAAAATCTCAAAACCTTGGCTCAAAATCAATTATTGATTAGTTTCTTTAGTCTCTTATCGCTTCCCTTCTTTAGTTTCTTTTAAACTTTGTTCCTCTTTTCGTTTCTTCTGTGATCAAAGTTTTGCAAAAGGAAGATATTAAACGCTAAGTTACTAAACTCCAGTTTGCGATCTTTGTAGCAAAATATACAGACGATGAAGCTTAAAATGTGATGGCCTAACATTGATGTTAAATCCTTTTTCCATCTTTACCATTAGCTTTCAACTATAAAGTTTCCATCTTTACCATCAACTTCGATCCATAAAGATGTTCCCATCTTCCAACATTAGCTTCAATCTATAAAGTTTCACTCTTTATTAGCCCAATTTCTTTCTGATAAACAAGTTTCCATCTTTCTCTGTATTATTAATACTGCAAAACAATATTTATTTCTTCATAAATAGAACATAAAACCCTAGTTCACCACAAACAATTCAGTCCCTCGCCAATTTCTCTCTCAACAAGATAAAGACACAACAACAAACACTCTTACAGTTACTCTGTTTCTCTTCTCTTTCTCTCTCTGTTTTTTTCCTTCAAATAAGCCAAGTGCTCTGTTATTGTCGCTTAGCATCAAACGCAGCACCTTCATTAAGCATATCATTAGCATCAGTCTCCATTCCAAGCTTCGAAAGCGCTAAAGCCTGCAAGTAAAACGCCGTAGGCCACTCCGGTACGGTAACCTGAGCCTGCATTGCATCTCTCAGCGCAAGGTTCGGCTCCTCCGTCATCAAGAAGGAGAAAGACCGTCTCGCACAAACCGTCGCAGATGTACGAGGCATCATATGAACCAGCTGCTACAAACAAACAGATTCACAAGGAGGGTTTCAAGATTTAAAAAAAAAAAAAAAGGCACTAATCAATCATTGGATCTGGTTGTTTGTTTTTGATTCTTACCTTTGAATAACATTCAATCGCCTTCTTGAAGTCCTTGTCTCTGAAAGCAATGTCTCCGAGCTTCTTGGTGTTGAGAATTTCTTGCACTTGTTGTGTCCATTCTTGAAATGAAAGCTGTAGAGATAGATTTCAGACAAAACCAGAAACTGAAAAAAAAAACCAATGTTAAGGATTTGTCTTCAAGAGTACCTCGTTCTCTGCTCCTTCCTCATCTCTGTAACCGGATTTAACCAAGATCTCGTGTACAGCGTCGAGGTCCTCTTCCGAACAAGCCTTTCCGAGAGGAGAAAGCAGAGTTGGTAGTATAACCCTATACTTAGGCAAACCCATCAAGACATGAGATGCAACCTAAACACAGAAACAAAAACAACCCAAAAACAGAAATTATTATTAATCCGCTATGGAAAGTATTGACTATTATTATCATTATTATTTGATTCTTGAAACCTCCTCTTTCTGCTTTTGTAATTTTGCCGCTCCAGAGACAAGAAATTTGGTATCAGGTCGATCTTTAGTCTCGGATTTAAGACACTTTGAAGCAAGATCAACAAGTTTAGTTGCGACTTCATTATCGTATTGCCCTTCAAGTGATGAATCCATAAGTACCAAAATGCTTTCCCCTTTTATTAAATCAAGAGCCTGATATTTGAACATACATCACTCATTCCAGATGCTAGGGCAACATTGATTGAAATGAAATGAGACTAGAAAAGTTGCAGGGAAACATTACATGGCTTGGTGGAATGTGTTTGCCGCTCAAAAGATCTAAAAGAATAGTTCCATAACTGTAAATCACACTTTCAGGGACGATGCTACCTGCAAAATGTAGAAGAAACCCTTTTAATTTCCACATAAAAGCTTCTCCTTCAGGAAACCCTTTTTGATTCTCTTGTACCTGTTCGTAGAAACTCAGGTGGAGTGTAAGCCAAGTTAGTGCTATAGCTTTTTCCATCTCTACTGTTCTTCATGAGACCAAAAGTTGATAGACGAGGATCGCATTCCTCGTCAAAGAGGATTCTGTATGCATTCAAATCATGATAGATCTTTCGGTCTGTGATGTTGCATTGATCAAGCGCTTGTGCGATAAAATCTGCAACTCGAACACGCATTTCCCAAGGAAGTGGCTCATTATCCCCTACACAGAAAGAGAGAAAGCATCATCATCATCAAGTCTCTAAAAAAGATCAAAATGAAAAAGTAGTCAGAGAGAGAACATTTACTTACAGTGAAAAAGATGCTTTGAGAGAGTATCATTAGGCATATACTCTGCAACCAACAGTCTCTCGTCTCCTTCAGCGCAACAACCAATCAGATTGACCAACCTGTTGGATCTAAGCTTTCCAACACTAGTAGCCTCCGCCTGATTCAACAAGTTAAACATTGGTCAACGCAATGTTTCACAGACAAAAAGATAAACAGACAGAAGAAAGTTCCACAGAATCTTTCATTCAAATAATTACAGTTAAAGACCATACATTTACTAAGCTATCTACAACATAAAAGGCTAAAAGGAGAATCTAATAAAACTATGGTCTATAAAATATAGTCAGAATCTTGGGATTAAAGTTAGCTTTTGGAATCTTAACTTACCTACTTTTTTCCTTAAATTCAATAAAAAAAAAAACCCAGAGATTTAGCAAATTCTCTGGTCAAGATAGACACTAACTAATTGTCTTTTTTTCCCTTCTACAACTAAATGAAAAAACATTTCAATTCTTTGACTGGTCACTGTGAGCAATGAAATCAATGAACATTAATATAAAACTTGACCCATTTTTTTTGAAAGATTTTTTACCAAAAACTGCTGAGCGTTAGGCCAGGAGAGTCTAGAGAATCGCTTGATGGCGACGAGACGATTGTCTTCGAGCTTTCCTCTGTAAACCACATTGGCAGATTTCTCTCCACCTTCAGAGACAATGCAACTGGGACTAAACCCATTTGTCACTTTCCTCAATTCACTTAGATCAAACACTTTGAAATCTGAAACTTCATTCTCCTGATCCACTTGGTATTCATTTACTGCAACACAAGAACAGAGTTTCATCAATTAAATCCTATAGAATCTGAAAAGGCATCACGCAGCTTAGGGAAATGATTGGAGATTACTCTTCAAAAGGTATAAACTTTCCATCTTTCCCTCATTTAAACCCTAAACCCAGAAGCATTAAAACAAACCCACCAAGCAATTACACTAAGAAGCAAACACACCCATAAGAGAAATGCAGAAAAAACAAAAACAAATTACAGATAAAAATTTGAGAGCTTTCCTGATTCTGGTTCGTGCGGAAGTGATGGGTCATCAGGAGAAGAAAGTTTAGTTTTTTTTGAAAGAAAACAACCCATTCCCTCGTTATCTTTCTTTCTTGTCAGATTATCTTAAGAAAAAAAAAAGGAGAAATTTGGATGGGAAACAGGAAGCAATAAGTTATACAATCAAGAAAGCTTATGCCGGCAGATTTGAGAGAGGATTGTGTCTGTGTTTGGATTTTGATTTGGATTTTTGGCTTATTTGAAGGAGGTGAAGAGGCAGTAGATGAGTGAACGAATATATAAATTTCCCACAAAAAGAAATAAAGACAAAAAAAATTGAAAAGAAAAAGGAAAATAAAAATATGTTTCTATTTGTTTTTGTTTTTCTAATTGTACAGATTACAAAGAGATTTTTGAACCAATGTAGGTGCTGCTGATGCTGTTTTCAAAAACAAAAACAAAAAAGAGATAAAATCTCAAAACAGTGATATTTGTACCATTCATCTTAAACATTCCTTTTTTACTAGTTTTTCAGAATTTGTTTTCTTCTTGGTATAACCGTAATTCAATATTTCTCTATTTTCTATATAATGTTTTGATATGAATATTCATAAAATAATATGTAAACTATATAAAAATTTAATAAAAAGTATTGTCAAATAAAAAAGTAAAGAAGCTCATATAATTTTTTTTCTTTTCTGTTTGAACATTAAGTTCAAAAAAATTACGAATATACATACATATTTTTTGGTTAACATCCTGAATTAAAATAAATAGCAGAATAGAGATTTGAGTTATAGTTAGAGTCTAAATTGATAAAGGTGCAGTACCTAAATTGAGTATATAAAGATAAGTTCAAAAACTGTAGGTTAAAAAATTAAAAGAAATTCAAAAATATAAAATTTTAAACTGAAATATAAAAATTAATGATAATAAAAATTCTAAAATTACAAATTTCTTCATATTTTTCTATAAAATCATACATCAAATTTACATATTCAAAATTTTAACCAACTAATTTTATATATAATTATGATAACCAAACTATTAAAATTTGTAACAATAAGAAATTAGTATTATAAACTCCTTCTCAAACACAAAAGCTATATATATATATATATATATATATATATATATATGTAAACTTGTGAAATTTGCAAAACTAACTCATTTAACTATATTAATGTGTGTCAGTAACGCTCGTAAAAAAGTGTTTAAAAGTGTTAGAACTAGCGTTTTGAGACTATTTCATATTTGCTAGACGTTGGCTTTATCTTTGACAACATGTGGTGTTAACGTGATTGTTTGTGGAAAAGTTAACATTCAAATTAATAATATATTATGTCGAAGGCTAACCCTAACATATGTATATCGACACTTCAATAGCGCTAGCCTAAAATAATAAGCATGTTTGCACTTTAACTATACTTACATAAATGAATAATGATTAATATAAATATTAATGGGTCAATATTATCCATAATATTATGTATTGAGAAATATTAAGTTTGCTGAGCTTTCAATCCAAAACCAATTGGCAATGAGTGGATTGTCCGAAGTCTTATATATACTACTGTTGGTTCCTTTAAACTTTTGATGTGGGATTCCAACACACTCTTTTGAGATAATGGCTCTTATCAGGTCTATTTCAAACTGAATCTCACTTTAGAACCAGTAATAAATCATTTTTGGGTCACCCTACTTGAATACTATGTTAAGTTTCCTGAGCTTTCAACCAAAAACCAATTGGCAATGAGTGGATTAGCCTAAATTTTATATATAGTACTATTGATTTCGTTAAACTTCTGATATGAAATTCCAACAAGAAACATTAATAATGTTAACAATGCAAAGTAAATCAAAATTGTTATGATCATAAACAATGCTAAAAGAGATGTCTTTCGACGATGTGATCACGAAAATGTTAATGTCTACTCGATGCATATGTGATGTCGATACGTCAGGTAGTGACGCGTTTACACGTCATCTAGCTACACGTAAACCAAAGGCATACAAGGCGACATTAGAAATGAACTATATGATATTTGCTAGTCATATTGGGTAAGTTCTATATGGAAGATAGAGCCAAATATAAAGTAGTGAATCTAAATTGAATAATATAAAGTGTGGAAACTATAAAAGCGCTAGCATGTAACAATCAAAATCTAAAACCTATATAAGAAATAACGAATATGGAAACGAACCTAAATTGATTAATTGAATAACTTAAGGCAAACATGAAGACCAGTTAACAAAAGAAATCTAAACTGTAAATGAGAAATTACAACATTTTTAAAGAAATCGATGATATATGATATTTTAGCTTTGCTAGAGAGAAGAATAACACAAACACAGAGGTCTTCTTTCTTAGGGCAACCAAATTGGGCATTTATCAAGTCCTTCCACTGCCTCTCCGACCACTCGACCTTTCCTTTGATCTGCTCTTTTTATTATTTTTTTACTCTTTCTCCTTATGTTTCTTTAAAATCGGTTAAGTTTCCAAATCATCTTTTGGCTTTTACTTACCCAATAGATTAGTTTTAGAGCATTTTCAACTATATTCCATTTTTTACTCAAAAATAGACGGAACCCAAATTCTACTTCATATTAAAAAAATTATACTCCATTTTGGAATATTGAACTTTTTTATTTGCAAACTGATCCATAGAACAAATAAAATACAGCTACGGTTTATTTTCAAACAAGAGGTGAAAGCAGCAATAAGTTATAAATAACCATTCTACATTTTACTAATATCCTCAATAGTCAATAAATACCCTAAAAACTAAATAAATGGTATATTTTCTTTTTCATTTAAAAAAAAAATCAGTTTATTTTTTTAATCTTGAGTTTTTATACCTTTTTCTTTGTCAGTTATTTAAATATTAAGTGGTTTGCAGATTTATGAGTTTGAATGCTGAAAACTGTATAAGATTGCAAAATTAAGAGAGATTAATCAGTGCCTTGTAACTCTGTCCCTGCAAGGCTTAGATACAGAGTTATACCTGTCAATGGTCGTAACTGTAGCTTCTAGATTGACCCAATGGTCGTAATGCTCCAGTGGCTTCTTTGTGGCGTGGAGGAGGATGCGATCTCCCTTCTCCTCAGTTTGAAGAGCTCCTAGTGCAGATTCCCTACAATGGATTATTGAAGGAAATATCAGGACTTCTTTCTCTTCAGCTACCAATTATGTTATTCAATTTATGAAACTTGGAGAGAGCGAAACACCAGGCTTCACCGGAACACTCACCGCTCTCTCTTGATTCGATCTTAAAAACAATTGATTCTACAATCAGAAATAGAGTCTCTTCTATTCCCATGCAAAATACGGACTGGGCAAGCCAGTGCATGCAATTCTGGTTCTCTCTCTCGTCCGTTGGTGACGACGATAAGGCTCTCTCGTCTCTTCTCTCTTGGTGTCGGCGATTTTCTGGTTAGCGTAACCAGTTATTTGGATTTGGCTGCTAATCTGATTTTTTTTTCAATTTGGGCTTCATTTTGGGCTTCTATTGGGGCTACTTATCTTATTTATCACTTGCTTCTTCTTTTGTTGGTGGATATGTAATTATATCTAAAGCTTAGCTGGGCGATCATTTGTACAACATGATCACCACTTTTGCTACAGTTATTTTAATGCAACAAATAGTTCAAAAACAAAAAAACAAAAAAAAAACTCTGTCCCTGCAATTAAAGGCTGCAGGGACGAAGAACTTGATGAAGCTGTCACAGAGAATGGTGACAATTTTTTGTCTGAGTATAAGCAAGCAACTCGTACGGACAAGCATTGTCTGAATCAACAAAGGACATAGCGAGAATCACGACCAGGAAACTTTGTGTTGTTCTTGTTCCTTGTGCCGTCTCAAGCACGTTTCTTCCTTATTCTCATCACATTTCAAGATCTACCTAAGTACATACTCGCACTCACATAAGTGAATCCTACTTTTGGAGCTTACATGTAGTCTTTTTAGATTTAACAGATTCATATGCAGGGACTTAAGACTCTTGTTTTCTCTGCATAACTTGTTAACGACGGAAAAGGAATGAAAACAAGCGATTAAGAATAAAAGGATATATAGACAATAGCTACCAACTTGGATCATTTGGTTTTAAATATACGTCAGATACAATCAAAGTAGGCTATAGCATAACACCAATTCTTGCCAAGATCTTCCAAAAGAGAGGGGTCTTTCTCTATCTCTTTGGCTTGTTTTTAGGTTTAGTGTCACCCTGATTCTTGTAATCATTTGGACGAAACTCAGGACCTATATCTCGCACCATTAAGCCTTGATACTTCCTTCAACACCTAAATTTACACAACGCGTAGGTGAGATTGAGCTTCTGAGCTATATCAAACTGAAAACAACTCCGATCACTAAGCTCACACGCCTCTTACCGTAATCTGCTTCTCCCGCGTTCGTTTGTCCTCCCATTAAACTAAACATCTTTCCTCTGATTTTTTGCTTCTTCATGATCTATTTTTTTATAGATATTCTTCACGATCTTTTTCTGCTCTCTTTCCATGGAAATTGCTAAAAAGAAAGATTTGAGTTTTGCAAATGAAAAATTCAAATGGAGAACATATTCTGTCGAAATCAGAAATGAAATTTGTGTAAAACAAGACCATCAAAAAAAAAAAAAAATTGATTATTATTTATTCGTCGAGGCCTTTAGTTGGACCTTTGCAAATCAAAGGCCCATTAAAGACAATCTTTAATCACGTTATATTTTTTTTTTTCCAAGCAAAAAAGGAACTCATAGGCATTTAGCAGAATTTCCAAACGAACAGTATGTTTTTAAGAAACTAGGGTACGAATTAGAAAGTGATTTACCTATGGGCAGAGAGATACACAACTACAAACGCTTCAATACTAATATTTGAATATTTTTGTTAGAGGCGATAAATATAAACTTACCAAGTAATAATTAAGATTGTAGGTGGGCTAGATTGGATAGGTCTAAATCAGTATATACATGTGTACATATGTGATAGTATGAGGATCGACGAAGTATCATAATTTTTTTTTTTTTGTTAATAGTCTCAATTCGTAAAATGGTTCAAAAACCTAAATCGGTGAAACTAAGTTTACCATAATAAAATGTAAAAATTACATATTTTTCTTTTCTTTAGTGAAATGTAAAATTTCCAATTTTTTCTTATTAATGTTCTTTAATGACAAAATGTAAATCTTTCAAAATTTCACCATTTCCTTACAAAATTTTAAGCTGTAAGTTAAAAAGATACGAACAAAAGTTACAAGCGTGTGTGTGGTGAAGAAACAGTATGAATAGCATCATATTTATCGCAGCCATCGTTGTGGTGCTCGTGTTAATCTTGGTTTATGGTATTTATGAATCGATTCGCGATTGCTCCAACCGAAAACGGATTAACCCCAGTTGTGGCTAATCCGCATTATTTCTAGTATCAAGTAATCGACTATCTTATGTTCGGTTTTATTTTTGGTTTCTTTTTTTTTATTAATTAATTATATTGTAATGAACTTAAATTGGATACCTATCGAATATGCAGATCGTTTATGCGATGCTGCATTATTATTTTATCAATGATATTGTACCTCAGTTTAGTTTAATGATACTGTAAGTCTGTAACTCTATTCTAATTTCAACATATTTAATTCATATTGATTTTGTTATATTTTGTAGTTTTAGCCTAAGTTATATAACATGATCCATATTCCACAAGTTTGAAACCTTCGTTGTCACATATGCTAAACGTGTGTTACCCCCAATTTATAAAACTTCCTCTCTTCCGCTATGAAGTCCTAAGAGCACTCTCAACTTTAAGATACCGTCAAACTAAGCAAATGTTCCAAAAAAAAAAATGTCAAACTGTCAAATGTATCCCCTAAATTTATATTAATAGTTTTAATATCATTTAATTATTTAATTGAATTGTAAGCTAAAAAAATTTAGAACCAATTATAAAGTGAAGCTTTTATTTTTTTATTATTTAAAAAATCATTTTTAAATGATTTTCAAAAAAAAAAATTTGATCAATGACATCTCTCCACGTTACTTAAGGGGCGTTTCTGCAGACTCTCTACAGAAAAGTGATTCTGCTTCTGAGTCTCGCCATATCATTTCTTTTTTTTTTCTTTTTTTTTTAAAACTCCAGAAAAACTGTTCAATAATCATGTTCTTATTATTGAGGTTCTCAAACGAGATTTGTTTCTCTATATTTTTTTTTTAGTGATTAGATACCATATAAAACACTGTCGATGAGGTTGCTCTAACCGCAGAAAAAAAAAAAAGAATTCATCTCACTTAGAATAAATTCTATATCGAAAGTTCGAATGTAAATTAAGCATATTACTAATGTGATATTTGAACCAAGTTCCAACTTTCGTAATTGTTAGACGTTACGTGCGTACAGTGGATCTCCAGTCCCACAAATTTCACATTTCAAATACTCAATTTTGAATAAGGTGTGAATGTGCCAGAATAAGTCTCATGTCAAAATAAGAAATTTGTAGACGATATATAAATATGTGACTATTTTACATAAGAATCTAGCTTTTAGGTGTGAATTTAAGCTTATTACTAAATACTAATGGTATCCGTCGTTTTTGTCTGCAGAATCTTTCGCTCTCTCTCTCTGCTTATCCACTGAGCTCAACCCCGCACGACCTCACCTAGGAACCATATAATACTTCTTTCATGTTTATGATCCCAAAAAAAAAGTACATGGAACGTCGCAGCAAAAGGATTCGCCAAATGTATGATAGAGAACGTATGTTATGGTTGTGACAGAAAGCGTACAGAATGGAGAGATTATTCTTTTAATCTAGAGTTTTAAATGGTTTTTTTCGCAATTATTGGTTATTTAGCTATCATATGGTTTTCAAGTCACATCAACAACCTAACCATTTCTATACTATGCAATATTAAAATTAATATTAGTAGATAAAGAAAATTAAAAAATAAATAAAAGGCTTACATTGATAAGTAAAGAGACTTTGGTTAGATTTATATATAACAAAAAAATATATATCAACCCCAAAATAAAGATTCTATGTATTAAAAAAAAATCACAGAAATTTGTTAACAAATTATCAATCTTTTTGCGAGACATTAAGACTCAAAAAGTAGGCTCGGGATGAACAGCAGAAGCGGCAGCGTTATTAACGTGAAGAGCTCTTTGAAGTTTCCGTTGATCGAAAACTTCAACTCCGACGTTAAATATCGAAGTCACCGGCCGGTGATCGGACATTCGTATCTCCGATCTCTTATAACACTCTTGTCTTATTCCTTTTCCCAGCCATAATATTCTATCACACCTGTTATAAACACAAACACAAAAAAACTCTTTAAGAATCTCACAAAGTTTTCACAATGACCCCCCAACTTTTAAAATGTTCAATCTAGTCACTTACCAAGCCGGGGCTCTCTTCTTCTCTCCTTCTCTCAAGTTTTCTCCGGCGTAACGGTCGGAATCGAATTCATATTTATATGTCGGAGGGAATTGTATTGGACCTTCTCTCCATCCATCAAAGACATGTCCTCTTCTTAGTTCTCTAATCAACTGTTAAATTTGAATTGATTTTTGTTATATTAACTTAAGAAATTAATATATGTGATTAATAGTCAAAACCAAACATAGCAAAAGAAACCGAACCTGGTCACTGTTCTTAAGCTCGTCCCATCGTTTCTGTGCGACAAGCTTTCTTACTTCACTGTCTGACATATTAAGTCGGTAATTCAAATCCCCAAACCAGAATATCTGACTGTTTAAGAGAAAAAAAAAAGCAATTTAATAAAAATATTTAAAAAAATTTGCATTGTGTTTTGTAATCTTTGATTGATTTGCTTACTCGTGACATGGAATCGTTCTAGGTTGATCGGTATCAAGAACCGATGAGAAACGAGTACGACGTATGATTTCGTACACGTCAGCATTCCGGCGTTGCTCAGCACCGTCTTTATGACCGGAAGTTAAGTGTGAACACACAAAACACATTCTTGATTGATATAACGTCATGCTAATAGACACTGATCCCTGCAATTATCAAGAATATCAAGAAATTGCTCAGTTTTTATTGAGATAACTTGGCAGGGAAGATAGGGATAGGGTTTGTTTTTTAATTACCTTGTTTCCCATGTAACCCATCAAGCCAACTCCGACCGGTGAAACTTTCAAGTTGTTGACATGTCTTCTCAATCGCCGTCGGATCCAAACCGATACATAGATCCCAACCATTTGCTTACTCACTATCCTTACATACTTTTGAGAATCTTTCACCTTCCGACACTCCTCCACCAAATCTTCCGGCAATCCATAAGTATTTCCGATTTTATCTCCTTCCTCCTCGTCATCGGAAGACGATTCTCCGTCTGATGAATCACCAGACTGGATTTTCGCAGCTTCTTCCTCCGCCTCTGACGAGGAAGAGGAGGAGGAGGAGGAGTTATTATCATTCTCTTCTTTGATATCATTCCAACTCAGCACTAGAGTCTCAAAGCTCCGTGACCGTTTCAAGTTTCTTGCGTCGGAAGCAAATCTACTCACTCCCGTTGGAGTCTCCGGTAGCTTAAACCCTAGCATGGCGTTGCTGCTCAACACTCTCCTTAGCTTTCCCTCGGATCCAACAATCTGAGGATTCTCGTCTAACGCTCGTTCAGGCCAGTCCATGTCCGGATTCCCTACTGGTTTTAGACTCGGTAAAGCGGTTGCAGCATCGATGAACTCGTCTGTAGCTAGGTCTAACGAGTGGTCTGCGGCAAGATTCTCGACCAAGACATCAGAGATAATGGATTTTGCTTGTTGCGCTAAGACAGGAGACGAAGGCGCGCTGTGAGACCTATGAAGAACGTTGTTGTTGCTTGGAGATTGGTCATAGACTGATTCTTTCTTGGATTTGTTCAGCGTCCTACGGATTATCGATTCCCATTTCGGAATCGGACCTCTATCTTCCGCTCCGAAAACGTTTCCGGCGTTTAATGGAACCACTTCTTGAAACCTATAACAAAGATTACATCAACAAAAAGGAAATAAAGATTGAAGAAAACAGAGGAGATGTTTCTGCTTAAAAAGTGAATTTTTGGGTGAAAATAGTAGAATTTTGATGTGACTTTTTTTTTTTTACTTACCCGATGATGTAAATATCTGAAGGGTTTTCAGTAGAAAGCCAATCGTCAATATCGAGATCATCGGAGGGACGTTTTCCGGCGACGTTCCACGTAGCCACCGTCACTCTATATTATCAATTTCACCGAAAACAAAAACGTGTGAGAGAGATAATTCACGGAGGGAAATTAGATGAAATTCCAGAAATACCCTTACTTGATATCCTTTGTGTTTATGTATTGGACTCTTAAAGTCTCCGATTTGCCTCGCCGGTGTTTCCTCTGGTAACCCCTCGCACCACCACCGTCTGAATAATTAAAAATAATTAAACAAAAAGAAATTAGAAATTAGTCTGGTATTTCTGAACTTTTGATTCACTAACTCGATAGAAATGGTTTAAAAATAAAAAAATATCAAGAATCTTTGCCTGAAATTTTACTGCCGTGAACAGTTTCGTTTCCTCGGCGACCGCCATGGCTGTCTTCATCAGTTATACAGCAAGCATTAGCGACGTCTTTGACCGAACATACTGTAAAGGGACCCAGAAAATCTTATTAATCAAAGATAAAACTATAGATGAAGTTTGACCGAATTTAAGATGAATAATAAGAGGTAGTTTCTTGATAATAATTAATTATACTCACCGTCGTCTTCGCTTTCATTCTCTGTATCGATTTCGTCTTCACTAAAATCGTAAACTTTCGGCTTTATGTTCAACCATTTATTCATCACAATCGAAGGCCAAAACCTCTGTTTTAGTCAAACAAATAACAAAAATCAGAATCTTTGTTATCGATGGAATTTTAAGAAATCAAAAACAGAGGAGAGCATCTTTGTACCTCAGGGCGTTTCCCGCGTCTTGTTTTCATATTTTTCGATATGAACATTTTATTCTCTCTTTGGGGGGAATTTCGAGGAGAATTTTAACAGAGGAAATGTCAGAGTTTTGATATTTATAAGAGTGACAGAGAGTTGAGAGATCAAAGAAGACTACAGACGAACAAGAACAAGAAGAAAGAGACCAAAAATAAAGTGGTAGTCAGACAAGAAGACGTGTGAAGGCAAAAAAAATTTAAAAGTTGTAATGATGAAAATTCTCTGATATTATTTTTGGGTTTGTTCGAAGAAAAAGCTATAAAGCTATGGCTGTTATTTAACAGCCTTCACGAACCAAACTCCAACTTGCGAAGCCACTTTTTTATAATAGTATTGGGCAAGACATATTTTAGAAAACTATAAAGACTATCAGATTTATTTCTCTGTTTTTTTGTTCTCTCACGTGTTTTCCGATTTTTGATGGATCCCAACCGAATTCGGTTTTTTCTAGAATGATTGTACCGGACACTTCTCTTTATGCTTAACCATACCGAACCTTTAATTAATGTTTCTTTCATTTCTAATTTTCTGTGATGGTTTGAAGGATAGTGTGGTGTTTCTTTTTGTAACTAATTTCTTATTTTATTACAAATTATAAAACTTATTATATAAACAACTTTACAATGGATAAATATAACATTATATAATAATTTATATCTAACAGTTTTACATGCATCATGTTTATTATTTATGAAGATTTAAGATTGACAACTGTATCTGCATCACGCTTAATTTCTCAGGTAAACTTATTTTTATTTCTATAAGTTTTTCTTCAATAATCTATTAATTTATAATAAGTTAGATTCTGTTTAATTTAAAAATCAGTTTTTTCAACAACAAAAAAATAAAACTCAGATTTTATGATGTAGGAATATTAATAAGATTTTGGTTAACTATTAGAAAAAGGCTTCAATGTGGTGTTTAATTCGATTAAACTGAAATAATACCAATTTTACTAAGCTAAACATTTTATTTTTAAAAGATTTATAACATTTTTTATATCCAAAAGATTAAAAACTTAATCAGCGGCTGAATTTATTTTTTCAAAATTGATTATATTATTTTTTAAAAATTAATCATAACTAAAATTAAAATTTTGCTTAATGTAATTATCACTTTTTAATATTAATTTATTATTCTACTACAAATTATAAAAATTATTATATAAGCGATTATATAACAGATAAATTTATCATTATATAAGAATCCACAACTAATAACTACATCTACACCACTATATCATGTATATTTATCATTTTATAAATATCCACGACTAATAGTACTGTCAAGATTTACATCACGCTGAATATCTGATATAAATTTACTTCATTAATCTATATAATTAATTACAAATTGCATATAAAACTTAAAACTTAAATTTTGTGGTGTAAAAATATTAATAAACGCTTAGCCAAACTATTGGACTAAAAAAACTTCCACAATGTAACCATCACAGTACTCACTATTTTTCTTAAACCCAAAAACTACAAAAATACAAACCATAACCAATCAAAAATCCGATTCAGCAATACTTTTAGGATAATATTTAATAAGCGGTTTTTTGGTGAATAAAAAAAGGTCAAAATGTCACTTTCTTAGGCAACACACGACGTATGAATTAGTTTTTTTCAAATGTAAGTCTAGCTTCAGCTAATATTTTCAGCCATACAGTCGGCGGGAAGATTGATTATTTATTTGACTAATGTTTGATTAAATAATATTATACGATAACAATGAAATAATGAATTGGAAGCATAAAAAAACAACGAAAAACATGAAGATGCGCCTTATCCCCACTTCTCAGAAAGTCTTACCATTTCAAATATTTGAAAACAAAATTGTATTTCCAATCTCCAATAACAGAAGAATTTGATGGATTTCTACTCTGCAGATAAGATCAGACATATCCAATTCCAATCTGTTGATATTCCAACTATATAGTGAAATGTCAATCTCCGACAACGGATTTTAATTTATTTTTATCCTAATAACTGAAATTTAAGCGTCACTAGATATTCATAATTATATACAAGAATTCGACGCCCATGCAATGCAATTTGTGGATACTGGATACAGGACGTAACGAGAGAGTCATTAGAAAAGTTTTGGTTGACCCCACTTAAATTTAATTAGTTTGATTCTTCAAATTGGCTATATTTAATCAATTTTATTTTATTAATCACATTAATTAACCAGTGGACCTTAAAACAAGAAGCCGACGACGATGGTTGACTATCAAATAGTTGATCGGATGATTTTCTTACCGGAAGTTGAAGTTCAGTGGGAAATATAAATGTTTTACTTATCATCAACGAGAGCGACGGGATAACTAATATTTGGATAGATTAATTATATCAATTTAACTGCTGTCTCCGGTTAACATAAAACTGCGTCTTATTATTGTGCTATTTTGGTTTGCTTAAAAGATCGTTTGTTATTATATATTATACATTACTATATATCAATAACCTTAGACATCATAGCTTACCATTGTCTAAACTATCTTAAATTTCCTTAAATGTTTTTAGAAAGCGTGGTTGGAAAAAGCTTAACTTTAACACAAGAAACCAAATCAGACACGAATACTTTAATTTAAATTGATCAAGTCGGTCAGTCCAAAGCATTCAAAATGTGAGTATTCATTGATCATGATAATTTATTTGAAGTAATTAACATATTTTAATTAACCAAATCCAACACAATAAATAGATACGATTGGTAGGCCGGTCTAAAGATACACATTTGGACCACATACCTGTAAACGCACCAACGTACAAGGGCACACATTATTCTCTAATTTTCATTATTATAACTAACTCGAGTATTAACTTTAAACTAATCGAATAGCGTAATTAAAAATATCGAATAGAATCACGTAAGAAAGTTTTTGCGTAACGTGTTCACAGGAAAAAAGGTTTCATAACGTTGTCAATGTCTTGCTTTTGCCAACGTGCCAATAAATATCAGCACGCAATTACGCGAATAATCCACTTAGTATTTTTATAACTATTTTATACAAAAATATATATAGAATTCTCAATGGACTGAAGTCATAACTACTTCACAAGTCATTACCCCAAATCTCCTAATTATACAAATGAGACAAGTAGCCACAAACTAAATTCATACTGGTTTCGATAAAGGTACCCTTTTAAATGCGATTCCACAATAATTAGTCAATTATAAAATTATAAATACAACGTTGTATGTTTGTATTTAAAGTTAAAATAAACTAAAAAAATAATAGAGTTGAATGATATTAGTTTTTTTACATTTTAAAAACGTAATTCCACTAAATACATGTTATTCACAATAATAAGTATTGAACGGTAAAAAAAAAAATAACATGCTATTTTTCAATCCATTATGCACATTTTAAATTTATAACCAGTTTAGAGAAAAACATCTTCATTTAAAAGATACCGGAGTTGAATAGTATATAACTTAACGTGATTTCACTAAATGCATACTATTCAAAATAATAAACACTAAATAATAAAAAATAAAAATTAACACACTATTTTTTAATCCATTGCACGCATTTTAAATTTATAACTAATTTATATAAAAAAATATTCATCTAATAGATACTAACTTTTTAGCATTTGAGTTTATTAAGTTTTCAGTTTACCCATCCTATTGAATTCGTTAGTTTATTCAATTATTTTGTTATTTTGTTATTAAATTGACATATCAATCAAACATCTATCATTTTTAGCATTTTGAGTTTGTTCAGTTTTCTGTTTATGTATCCTATTGGTTAAACTAGTTTATTATTCAGCTATTTTACTATTAATTTGACATAGCAGTCAAATCCATTATGTTATCTACTTAATTTTAGTTTACATTATTTTGCCATCACATATAGTTACCAATCGAAGCCATTCCAAAACATTTCTAAAAATATGCATTTAATTATGATGACTAAACTTTTTTTTTCGAAATACATTCATTGATATCAAATCGAATCATACAAAGTCATTACAGAACCACAAAACAAAATATTACATCAGATATATGATGACTAAACTTATATAACCGTAAAATAACTAGAAAAAATTACTATTCAAAAAAATTAAAAAGCAGAACTTGTTAAAATTTGTTTTAAGAAAAAAATCTTGTTAATATTACTTAATTTGAATGATTGTACAAAAGAAACTCTAGAAATGAGTTAAAGAGCACGATTCTTACAGAAAGAAGTTATTATCAAGGAGCAACTTTTGAAACATACAAATAAGGTGATTAGATTGGATGTAACCGAAGGAAAGTTGTGTTAAGCTCGCAAGAGTGCATCTAGCTATCCTGTCAAAGTGGATACTTTTGTTCCGTACGTCTCCAAATTGTGTAAAGAGACTTGCATTTGCTGGTAACCCTACCTTTTGTTAGATTTCATAATCTATCTTTGATCATGCTATTGACGATAAGACAATTTTGTTTTTCGTAATTAATTGTTAGTAACCAAATACTTTTGTTTTAAGAAATTACTAGATTTTGGACCCGTGCACTTGCGCGGGTTTTTTTTTATAAAATGTTTTTAAGTTACATCAAAAATTGGTTTATATTAAACTTTTTTCAAAAAAGTAGTTTATATTATTAAATCTAAAATTGTGGCCCAAATAGAATTTTATTAGATTATATAAACTATTTTTACATTATAATGTTATGTTCTTAAAATTATTTAGATTTGATTTTATAAAATAAAAATATTTTGATTAGCGGATTTTCTGCTAAGTTTTGTAACAAATATTTCAAAATATTATGTTTTCGAATGCAAGAGAGATTTTTTTTGTTTGTAATTAAGATTTCAATATTTTCATAAAATTACGTTGTTGTACCAAAACCGGGAATTCCCGTAGACACTGTAAAAATAGCATTTTCCATCAAATCGTATTTTCCTGCCAAAATTACAAACCCATATTTTTTAGCAAAACCAAAAATTATGTTTTTTCCCAACACCATAAAACTGTATTCTATAGCCGAATTTCAAAAAATACATGTTTTTCTCAAATCTGCAAAATTGTGTTTCTCGTTATTTTTAATAAAATTCATAAAACCATATTTTCCATCAAAACCTATAAAACCCGCCAAAACATGTTGTTGTACAAAAACCGATAATTCCCGTAGAAACGGGGAATTCCCATACCAAATATTTTCATAAATCACGTTGTTGTACCAGAACCGGAAATTCCCGTAGAAACTGTAAAAATAGCATTTTCCATCAAACCGTATTTTCCTGCCAAAACTGCAAGCCCACATTTTTTAACAAAACCAAAAATTATGTTTTTTCCCAACACCATAAAACCGTATTCTATGGCCAAATTTCA